GCTCTTATTACTGTCCTGTAAACCTTCACCCTTTCTGTTTATTATTCTTCCTCAGAAATTTTCATGTTGCCTCAGCTTTCTCAAGCTATTTTTCGCCCAACGTGTAGTCTATGATACTATTGCTTTCTAAATTATTCTTGTAAAAGTGATACTCTTTTTTTGCATCTGCAGTCGAAAAATCCAGTTTTCTTTGGCAATCCTTCTCCTTGGTGTTGGGATTGCAACAGTGACAGATCTTCAACTTAATGTTCTGGGATCCGTCTTGTCGCTCCTGGCTGTCCTCACTACGTGTGTGGCCCAAATTGTATCCTATGCTTGTCTTCTCTGTTCCCCTTTCTTTCATTCTTTTACCTTTCTATATGTCTTAATCTTAACAAGCACCAGTTAACTTGTTGCTTTGTCTCAGCGTTGCAGCAATGCCTGTTGAATTCTATGCTGTTGCTTTGTTACCTTAACCCAAATTTATGCAGATGACCAATACCATCCAGAAGAAATTTAAGGTTTCTTCAACCCAACTTTTGTATCAGTCTTGCCCATATCAAGCGATCACTCTTTTCATCATTGGCCCATTTTTGGACGGGCTCCTGACCAACAAGAACGTGTTTGCTTTCAAGTACACCTCTCAAGTCCTGGTGAGAATCAATTTGACTCAGTCGGGCAGCGCCTACTCTGGACTTTCTCTCCTTGTCAGTTTTCTGATCTTTTGATCATTCTGCTTTTATGATTTGCAGTTCTTCATTGTCCTGTCCTGCCTTATATCTGTATCCGTGAACTTCAGCACATTTCTTGTTATTGGGAAGACATCTCCGGTCACCTATCAGGTCCTGGGACATCTGAAAACATGTCTGGTTTTAGCTTTTGGCTACGTTTTGCTACGTGACCCGTTCAGCTGGCGCAACATTCTGGGCATACTGGTTGCTGTGGTCGGAATGGTTCTCTATTCTTATTACTGCTCGCTGGAGACACAGCAGAAGGCTAGCGAAGCATCAGCCCAGCTTCCCCAGGTATTTCTCATTTCTTTATCTTATGCACGTCTAAATATAATGTCCACTTCCTTCTTCCATATTACAACATTTTGAAGGGTCTCTCAGTCATTATTTGCCTGAGGCATTTGCTACTTTGGTATTTCCTATTTGGCAGAGCACAATAGTAACGGATAGTCTTATTTTAGATGATGAAGGAAAGCGAGAGCGATCCTCTAATTACAGCGGAAAACGGGAGCGGAATGTTATCGGAAGGCGTTGTGCCCAAGACTCCATGGAACTTGAACAAAGATGTGCAAGCATAAAAGCGGAATGAACCGTCGGCCATTATGGTATCGGAGATTCTTTGGATTATTTCGGTGGTGGAGTGCAGGAGAATCCGTTTGTTTTGGATCAGCAGAGGGGAAGTAGGGAGCGGAGGGAGAGTTTGTTGATTGAAAACATACATTAAAAAATGGCAAAAGTTTTGGTCCTTAGTTATTTTGTATTTAAAGGATGCCTCCATTCTTTCATGAACACAGGATATAGTTTTCTACTATATATATATATAATAAAATTTCTTGTTTGCTTAACAAGGGCACCAGTGGTCTAGTGGTAGAATAGTACCCTGCCACGGTACAGACCCGGGTTCGATTCCCGGCTGGTGCACGAGCTGTGATGACGTCAGCCTCTGCGGCGGTTGGGTCCGCGCGTTCATCTGACTACTCAGACGATACCGGCTTACAATTCTGAGCTCTTCTCTTTTTTTTTTTTTTCCGGGATGAATTTTTTAGATTAGGGTGCGGTGCCATCCAAACCTTAGCGCCAAAATCGTGCTCTACTTTTTAGCACAAAAGGGCATTTTGGGGCTTAGGGCGATATTAACTGAGATCGACGTGTCCCTTTTTATTATTATTATTATTAAAATATCAATTCAGTCGGATGCACAAAATGGTGTGCTGGTGGTAGATTTAGAGTAGTCCACTCTCTGACCAAACTGATGCTCATTTGTTTAGAGACAGGGGAAGCCCAGTTTAAGTTCCACAAGGATTTGGTCTAAACAGAGACCAATCTTAACACTATTTTCCAAAGAAGAAAAAATATCAAGAGGGATCGGCTTCCGGCACGAGCCAGAGTGAATGGCCACAAACAGCTTGATGATGTCAGTTTATCAACAAATTCTACATCACAGAGTCAGCCATTTTGCCTGAACAGCTTGTCGAGCATGGAAGCCGTGGAACGTTGCAGGGTTGTACTGAATCTGGTGGTGTAATCCCAAGTCAAAGGACTGAGATTTCGCCGGTCTCCCTTCAACCTCTATCCTCTCAGGGCTTCATTTAGAGGTGTTCATTCACGGTGTGTTATTTTTCGAAGACAGAGATATAATCCAATCATAATCACCATTACCAGATACGAATAAGATCAGAGATGCAAAGTGTAGCTTTGCCGTCCTGCAGTTGAACTTGCTGCTCCATTCCACTCTCTCTCTCTCTCAACGACACCATTCTTAATGCAAGAAACACCTCTGCACGAATGATTCAAGATTTGCAGAACTTCCCTCAAGAGAGACAGCGCAAACAACAAAGGATTCGACTCGTCATCACCCACTAGACGCAACACTCTGTTTCTGTCCGTCGCGTCCACTTGCTCTACTCTCATCTATCTCCTCCTGTATGGGAAGCCCCATGTTTAGGTCTATCCCTTCTTCTTTCTCTGAGTTTCTGTTCATCTTCTTCTTCTTCTTCTTCCTGAGCATAAGTGTCCTGAACCTCCTCTTGACTGTCATGCAGACGTTGCAGCAGCAGCAGGGCTTGTGCTTACCTTTCCCGCTCGGTGGCTGAATGCACACAATGCAACTGCACCCTGGCCTATGCCTCGGATGTCTTGTCGTGATCGCCTCTTCTGCTTCTTCTTCTCGGCCTTCTCCCAAGCCCGCCGCACTTGCCAACGCATCCAACCCTGACATCCCTTCTCTCTTCCTTTCCCAATTTCTTCTCTTCTTGGACTCTGTCACATATACGAGTAATCGATCAACCACATGGATACAAACATCATGGCCTTTCACAGGATCTGGCAATCGATCATTGAAGCCGCTTTGACCCAACACAAACGAGCTTAAAGCCTCTAGAGGAGGGAAGTAATAGGATGGTGGTTAGTCCTCATACCTTTCCCTAGTCTGAGACTCTCCAGTTCCTTCAAATTCTCCTCTGGGGCAGAACATGAACACCTACAGACATAATTCCCATGGGTTGGGAGAGTGCAAGAAAAATCAAATCCCAAGTGTCGTACTTAAAGGAATCTTCACCTGCCCACATCCCAAACGTTGTCTGAGCACTTCCACCTTGCAATAAGATGCACACCCATTGGTAACCTTCGCCATTTATAGCATTCGCCACACTGAGCCCATTGTTCATGTCCACTACACCAGTATGCAGCGGAAAGCAAGTTAGTGATGGAAGATAAAATGAAAGTAAGGAAGAAATATATCATAATGCCATGGATTTCTTCTTCGAGGAGGAAAATGACTTAATACCCAGAAGGCCGTGAAGTAAATACTATATTCTTCCCAAAGACGGGAGGTTCCTGAATCACAAGGACAATAGCTATCATTTGAAACCCGTTGTCATAAGCATGTCGAGAAGATTTTTATTACTTACATCATATTCTTCAAACTCGTGCTCCTCAACGGTGACAATAGTAGGTTTTGCATTGGGAGGGGGACGGAGCAAATCCTGTGCTTCTTCCCATGTGAGTCTCAGCTTCATAGCTTCTTCATTTTGCAAAAGCAGTCTCTTATTTTTTGTCCCGATGTTTCGAGTCCTCTTCTTGCCCTTTACCAGAAGCGAATCCTCATCACCGGTCCTGCCTCCATTATTCTGGCTTTTCTGCAATCTATTAGAACCATCAAGTGAACTCAAATGCTCAGGAAGACCCTTCACTTCTTTCAACATTTGCAATGGACCCGAGGAACCATTGATGGACGACGGGTTCTCAGTAACACCAGATGATAACGTATCCTCGGCTGAAACGCCGTTTGTGAGACCAGAACCCTGCTTATGAATATCAGCTGCGTATAAGGATCAGATTCAAGTGGAACTCTATTGCTAATACACGCATGCCAAAAATTCTGAGCAGGGGGAAGTAGATCCCGACCTGCTGCTCCCCACTGTTAGCTGTCTTTCGGAAACCCATTACAAATTTGCCACCGGGATCTATCCGACTGAACGTTACTGTAACAAAAACACAAACACAGATGAGGAAGGTGCCATTGGGTTTTAGATACACATTCCTCTCAACAACAAAGAGATGGCACATTACGATAGTTCAAAGGAAAAAAAAGGGACAAGGTTGCTAAGAAGGTAATGGAAGCTTTTGTCAAAACAAAAGAAAAGTTAAAGAAGAGGATGCTGAGCCCTACCGGTATCACCGGCCTGCAGTTGCATGGCCTGAATGCAGGGGGTAACGCCTTCTAAGACATACATCCTACTATTGTTATTGGGCCAATACCTGAACTGAAACGTCCATTCTTTCCCCTTCACATCTTGAATTTTCAAAGGAATGCCTTCTGATTGATTGATGGAAGGAAAATATGCCTATGTTCCATTTCCATCCAATTTCCACGAATGCATAACTCTCAGATTGATTTCATGGAGAAGGGGAAAATCAAAAGGAAAGCACAAGTATGGGCAATATTACTTCCGCGCATGCTTTTGGAAGAACAAGACGACCAATACGACCGGCATCGCTGGCACTGAGAACCTTCTCGAAGAGAGGAACAATTTTTGAATTCAAGCTAAAATCGTTAAGATGAACATGGAGTAACACCAAATTTTCTTTACGATAATCTGTTTTGGGCATTTGCAATAGTCATCAAGCAGGGAGAGACAAGAAAAGGGGTAAGAAGGATACTTCCCAGAGATCTGCTGAAGCTCCTGATCAGAAATTCTCGGCCAATAGCGAGGAAGCAAATGGTTTCTCCCACGTCCTTCGGCAGGTGGCCTCACAAGTCGTAACTGAGAAGAAGAAGAAGCAGGATTGCTAGTTCCAGGAGCCGTTGAAACAGTAGATTTTGAGGGTTTTGGCAACACAGAGAAAGAAGGCTCTACGGTTGGAGATTGAGTAGCAATGCTCGGTTTTTTACCCTCAGTAACCTCACTTGAAAGGGACGGAGCAGAGGGAGTTACTGCCAAAGACATACTCAAAGATGGTTGCGAAAGTGATTCCTGCATATCCCTGGTGACTGAAGCAGACGTAGTACTGTCTGGTTCCAAATGTTTACCGAATCCAGGGTGAGGCATGAACCCTTCTGCCCTTTTGTCTCCACCAAGGAGAGTTTGAGGTTCACCGCTCTGAGACCGAGACAAGAGGTCAGGTTCATGATCCTCAGCAATCTGACACAACTGTGACAATCTTCCACCATCGATATTATTACCAAGAATTCCACCTTTACCATTGTGGGGTGGTTGCCTATCAGCCAGTATCATAGTTAATCTGCCAAGTAGATCATGATTTTCGCCTCTCTTACTCTGCAAAAGCACAAGAAAGAACGCCACCTCTTGTAAAACATGAAGATGAGCAAAACGAAACTGAACTAAATCTACTCACCAAGCTAGTATTATAGCAGCTGCTAGTGCAGGTACTACAACCAACGCCCCCAAAGTCCAGGAGCTCGACCATGAGCTTGGAAGCAATGCATCCACAGTGAAGACTCTTGTCCAAGCAAAAAGAAACATCGGAATCAGACCAGCATTGTAAGAAAATGGGGAAGGCAATGGAATCAAAGAGTGAGGAAGAGTTTCAATTCAAACGTACCTTATGGCAAAAATAGCATTCCCTCCAACCAGATTGCTCCTTATGGAATGTGTCGCAGAAGAGTGAACTCTCGTAGGCGGATCTAAAGGCAAATCAATTCAATTCAACCCACAATCAGCATCACTGTTTCTTCGTCTTCTTCTTTTTACCCTTTGTGGGTTTGCAAATTTCACGTGATAATGTCGTCATCTCTCTCTCTCTCTCTCTGTTTATACACATACTCACTCGCACTTGTATATCAAAGAGTCGAGATTGGTGAACGGACAGGTACTCATAACTCAGCTTTTTTGTCAGACTAAGAACCCCAAATGGATCCAATTAACACGGAAAACAGCACGAATGATCACGCACAGATCGAGATCTCAGTTATACTCATAATAGGCATCAAAACAATCATCCAGAATCTTGTTCATCGGCAGAATCGGAAGGGAACGAGAAATTAAGGAGAGAGAGAGACAGAGAGAGAGAGAAATACCCGCAACGAAAGCAGAGATCAGCAACGCCATCGTTTCGTAGAGGCCAACCTTTCTTCCATTCGACGGTGGTGGTGGCGGCACAGGACGCGTTCATGCAAATCTTTTGACCCATTTTGACTTGGGCATCGGCGAAATCGGCAGCTCGAACAACGCAGAAGCAAAACCCGATTGAAGAAATCCCAATCAGCTCCAAAACCCTAACGCCCCTTGAGCCAGAAGCCCGAATCTGATGAGAAATTGACGTGAATTAAAGCAGAGACAAGCCATGAACATGCACAGACGTAAGTCAAATCAGAGCCCGTCGGGATCGAAGAATCCAGAATCTAGAGTACAACTGCCAAGAACGGCGCTCACGGAGAAGAAATTAGAGAGAGAGACAAGGATAATAGAGAACGACGGCGAAGAAGAGGGGATGTGTAAGAAGAAGAAGAAGAAGAAGACAGCAACGTTTGGCGATGGGTTTTATCTTCGATGAAGTCGCGAGGAAAACATGGGAAGAGAGAGAGAGAGTGTGCATGCAAAGGATAACAGACGTATAAAATGCATGCACGAGACATGAGGACACGCCACGCCGCTTAACCCAAAACACAGACAGCAGAAGACTTCAGTTTTTTTTTCATCAACCATATCGAAAAGTATCATCTTTCGAGGAATCTTTTTAACTTGAGCCCTTACACCCATTGACTGCCCTAGGATCCTGGACAATGTCCCATATTTTTGTTTTATTAATACACAACAAATTTTATCAAAAAATATATATCATATATTCTCTTAACGCAAATCGCCCCACACTTTTTTTTTCTCCACCCCCCCATATATATATATTTTTTATCCACAAAACTCACATAAGATTGTGCAAATTTCATGTTCATCTTCACGTGACTCGTAGTTGTCGCCGACGAGGTGGGTGGGGGAAAAGGCTAAAGCCATGGTACAAAAGGGACATGTTTTCGCACGTGGGAAATTTCACCCCTCCCCCGCATTTATCTCCCAATTCAAAGCCATAATTAAATATACACACATATACGTATGCATATGGTCACATGTTAGAATAACAATTAATAATATGTGTAATAGATGAGTTAATGAGAGAAAAATGTCAAAGATGAATTTAGTTAGAGAGGGGGATTAATTAGTGAATAAAGAGAGGAAGGGAACCTAGTTAGTAGGGCTGGACATTTTTATCCGACACCCGTGGGTTTCCGGGTACCCTGTCTCACGGATACCCGGGACTCAGTACTCGTGAGACAATAAGACAGAGTTCGGGTTTGGTGAGATGAAAAACCTGAGTTTCGGGTTTGGTTCGAGTTCGAGAATTGTAGAACGGGTTATCTTACGGGTACCGATAAATAAGTAAATTACGAAAATACCCCTGTTTTTTAATACATTTTTAACAATACCCCTAACCCTAATTCACTAATGAGGTCCGCATCTCTCTCTTCTCAGGCGGCATCATCTTCTAGGAACAAAAAAAAATCTCGCCATTCCCTCGAGCTCTCGTCGCGTTGTTCCTTCGTTCTCTCACCGCGTCGTTCGGTCTCTCCGTCTTCGCCGTTGCCGTTCGTTCTCTCCGCCCCGCCGTCGTCGTTTGGTCTCTTCGTCTCCGCCGTTCGAGTCTCCTCCATCTTCGCCTTTCGAGTCTCCTCCGTCTCCGCCGTTCGTGTCTACTTCGTCTCCGTCGTCGCCGTTCGGTCTGTGGTATCGTTTCCCCCAATTGTTTTCTTCTGTTCTCATTCTGTGCCTGTTTCCATTTAAATTGTATTTGGGATTTGCATGGTAAATTTATAACTGCGTTTAGGACCTCTGTTTTTTTCGGATGTTTTTCAGGATGACTAGCAAATAGATTTAAACCATTGAGATTACAGGTCATGTATGAAACCAAGGCCAGATTCTTTTCTCGGATCTCTGGCTTTATTTCTGGTATTTTCTGTAAGATGCAAGGCTATTTCTGTAGTCAGAAACAAACAAGAACCAAGTCTCTGTTGCAGATCGATCTCTCTTCGATATTTTTCTTGATTCTCCGAAAAAATTGGGTACTAAGACAAAGTTCAAATGTGTTATTGATTCTAATTCTAATTTCGATTTGTATGTTTTTTTGTTGGTATAGGTATGCTCTTCATATGCGTTCAAGAATTGTGATGCATTTTGGATATGTTTTGAATGTTGTTGAACTTGAATCATGATGTATTTTAGATTTTATTCAATTTATAATGATGATGCATTTTGGATATGTTTTGGATGTTGAATTTTATGTTGATGATGTATGTATTGTAAATTTGCACAGTTTTTTTGTTTTAAAATTTTTTTACACAAATACGGTTTCGGGTTTCGCGGATACCCGATCTCGTGTCTCGGGTACCCGAATCTCGGGTATCCGGGTTTCATGAGATAGAGAACGAGATGTTTCAGTCAAAAACCCGGCGAGACTGAGACCGAGATAAAGATACCCTGAAAAGTCCGGGTACCCACCCGTGCCCACCCCTAATAGCTAGCTAGGGGATTGGGGCTCACATTTCCAACTTTGCAACCAACATGTTTCTCATTTTATAATAATGAGCATCTCGAATTTAAAGTAAAAAGCTGACACCTTCTCACCCTCTTTTGTATTTTTGCTAGTCAATTCTCTTAGAGGTGCATGCATGCGTAGAATACACCTAATTAAGTTGTTTTTCACGCTTTTGAATTTTTCGATTATACCATTTAATCTCCGCCTTATAAAGATTGGACACTCTGAATTTCGAATATCTACCCAACGACGCTAGAGTGACGAATTTAGACAAATTTATAATTGAGTTAATTGTGAGTTCATTATATTTTTTCTGGGAATAAATTTAAATTTTATATGAGGATATTTAACAATTTTTATTTAAAATTTATAAAAGAAATCAATTTTTTTTAATAAAAGGAATGAAGGCATAAGCCCTATTACTAGTGAATTGGTTATATATATATATATATATACACACACACAAAAAAAAGAAAGACCTTTACAAATCTAACGACAACATCAACAAAAGGCATGTAGTGTTTAATGAACCTTTTCCTTGACTACATTCACAATTTGCAACACTATGAGCAAAGACAGGGTTGTAACTAGCAACAAGCGCATGCGCTTGCGGGCAAGTGAAATCACATTTCCAATATGATCTCCCTGGAAATAGTTCACAGATCGCTGATAAATTTCGAATTAACGCATGCAGACAGGGAACGAACTTACCAACTTCTTAAAGAGTTCTGAAACAAGGCCCTCTCAAAACGAACAAGTTGAAGCGTGTGTCTTTCGAGCATTACAATTTGTTGTAACGAGTCCCCACTTGCCTTCGTCCTTGCCATTTCTCTTCCTTCTGTTCCTGTTCCTGTCACTAAAGCCTCACGAATCTAGCTTTTCCCACTTACCAAACCTGCCAAGAAATTCAAAGGAAAAAAAAAGGGTTTTGTTTTTTCCGGGGGTTCAATGACTTACCTCTTTTTCTGTAATGGCGAGCTTTGGGTTCCTCTTTCTCGTAGTTACTGCATCTAGACAACGGTTAAGAATGTCAGATATTTGGCAGGTAGAAGGAATCTGTTGAGGAAATGATAGAATGAGCAAGAATGTTTCACCGTACATACTCATTTTCGGGCGTCTTCACCGAAGATGACGAGGTTTCTCCTGCCTGCTCTTGCGTTGCTTTCCGATTCACTTTATGACTCATCCTATCCCTTGTTTCTTCCGTTCTCTCGTTCTCGTTCTCGTTCCCGTTCTCGGAGCTAACAGCTTCAGTTTTCATTTTGTTCTCTTGCTTTGGTTCATGTTTGCGCTTGACTGGTAAGCAGATTACGTCATGGTCGTGTTCATCGTTTGCAGGGCCTCGTTGTACATAAACGTTGGGAAGCCACGTCTCGTGAACAGAACCAGAAATACAAGATGATTGCCGATGCAAACCACCAAGCTCAAGGTCTGGAAATGCACGTGGCTTTTCTCCCTCCGGTCTGATATCTGAGACGGAGATTGGATCATGAAAATTCCAGCCAGAAATGGTCGAGATAGCGATAATAATATTACTACTAATAAATATAACAATTTCAGAGCATCTTGGATTACCAAAAGATTCGGAGTGAAGGAAGTCTAATGATGGAACGGATGGATCTCTGCAACTTGGCATGGGACTGGACGATGGAGGAGGAGTCATGGTAAAGCTTTCAGAAAAATGAGGCAAACCCGAGGCCATGTTCTTGAAGGTAAATCCTTCTGCAAACCAATTGCCTGGTTTTTCTAGATCTCCATGTCCATGGGAGGAGGAAGTGTATCTGTGGCTGGTGCATTTCGACCTTTCTGGGTTTGACGCTAACTCATAGTCTTCCAGCCCGTCTTTTCTATTCAAATGGTGACATCCGTCCCTTTCTTCCCACGCTTTTTGGGCAAAGCAACTATTCAGATCATTCTTGTCTCCATGATTTTGAAAGGAATCAAGATCCCTTCTCCTCTGTCGTGTCGTATCGGTCTTCAACCTTGAAATGGTGGTCTCACCGGTCCAAACTGACAAAATTTTTAGTAGGAAAAGGACCTTAAATTCCTAGTAATAATCAAATGTTTGCAAGATCCATGACTTGTGATTCAGAATATCTTTCATAACTGCAATACCTGCACTAGACGAACACGATTCATCGCTGCCAGAAATTGTATAAAGGTGTCAGTATCGCCGTTCAATCTATATATACTATATGAAGCACAATATGAATAAGAAATCTTGTAGATTCTTACCTACGCAAGCTCAGACTGTCCTTGTCTTTCTCAGCTCGGAAGGATGACCAAACTGGAGGGTCAAATTCATCTCCAAAATCAAACTTCTCTGGGGAATTGAAATATCTGGATGCCCTTAAAACAAGTTCATTTCCGAAATCAAACATCTCCGGGCTGATTTTTTAACACTGATAAGTTTGAATAGAGCTTCAAGCATTTGAAGGAAATTTGACTGACAGTGTTCTACTGGAACTTGGGTGTTCAATGCCCGCTTCCGGTATCTTACGCCTTTGGACTAACGAATCTGAAGACACAAGGAGAACCAAGGAAAATCCAGATGAAATTTGCAACAGGAATATTCCAGGAAAGATTGTGGATTACATTCTTCTCCAACTTCAAAAACAAGGGATAGAGGAAGCTAAAACACCGTGAGCAAAGTGAGGGAAGCCAAAGATATATGGCTTAGTGTAATGGGAGACAAAATATAGGTTCAAATGCATGCTTTTAGACAACTCATTGCATAGATATCAAATGAAATTTTCCTGAGAGCCTTTTTGAGAGCATACATGAACGCGGCTAGATTCCTTTAATTTAATTGAACCATACCCACCGTCAGTGCTAGGTCTTGCAGTAGTTCCCATGTAATCCCTACATATAAATGACTGCATGTCAGGAGGTAAGAGTATCGTCATTCAGAACAGGGACAGAATGAAAAATCACCTCTTCTTTGTCGGATGGTCTTCTGCAGAAGAGCGACCTGGAAGGTAGTCATTTACATATTCCAGAAAGTCAGCTTTCGTACTTTCCATTTCAAATGGCTGTTGGTCCTTCCAGTACATATTGTCCTCTCTGTCATCGAGGAAGCTGGACCTGGCTGGTGAGGTAAAAAGAAGAAAACACATTCCTCAGGTTTTGCTGTTTGTTGAATTTTATACCCATAATATGCGTGAAGAAACAACACATTGATTTAACTATGTCTTATATGATAAGGTGGAGATACATCCCTCCTCACTTAGCAAGAAATATGGCAAAATTGCATGAGTTGTGGGAAACAGAGTATAGAAAGAAAATGAAGCCACATCCAACAGAAATTACCATTCCGTTCATTTTCATTGTGGGCTCTTCTGTTGTCAAAGTCTGCGGTTTCGAGGAAGAAGTTTCTCGAGTCACTGATATATGGTTTGTGCGAATACTCTCTGGAATGGGGCAGTCTCTGCTTTCTGGTGCCACCTGAAGCTTGTATTCCTGAGGAGAATCTAAAAGGATGGCCACCTTGGAACATCTTGCTGCTTTCCAAAATTGCATCCTGCACCGGGAATATAAAACGGTGGGTCAATAGAAGCATTGCGAAGCCATTAGCTAAAAAATAAGTTGGCAAGATTTTGCAACCACTTCCGTCTCAAGGTCGTCGTGTTCATCTCTGACACCAGATATATCTGGTGGGCTTGAAACCTTCCACGGAGAGGAGCGCCAAGAGGGGTATGTTCTTTCATATCACAGGTGAAACAAATTTAGTAAAGTATCATCCTAAATATAAAAGGTACATTCTACTACAAATATAAAGGAGGACGCAACATAAATTAACAACAGTAGAGCGAAAACAAAAGAGATTGCAGAGTTTTCCTCACCTGTCAGGCCGCTGTGGAGAATGTGTTGGCGTTTCTGTCTTTATTTTACCTAATCCTGAATGCAGAAAGCAGGGGACAAATGAAAATGGCACAATAGGTATATTCAACAGAAAATACAAGAACTGTCTAGGTATGCGAATAGAGGTTAAAACTGTCCCACTAGTTGATACTCTCTAACAGAAGTACCTTCAACTGAAAATGCCATGTGAGCCTCACATCGGGGATTTTCTTCCATGTTGGTTGTTGCAGGATCATCAGCAACCAAATCAAACACAGATAACTCTGGAATATAGTGGCGAACAAAACTGAGAAACAAGACTTGTGCCTAGTTCGATATTAGAGATGAACACAGAGAGAAGCAAGTGCTCAGAGTCAGAAGTCAATCCAGAACGAAAACAAAATGGAACTATCCTTTCTAGATATTTTTGAGATATTAATTCCACCCCAAGTTATACTCACGACTTACTCTGCTCTGTACACTCCGTCAACAGGTCTGTTCTGTTGTTTGTTCTCTTGGAATCATTTATCTGGTTGCCTTGCCCTGGGACACTAAATGAAGTCCTACAAGATAGAAGTGTAAAATTTCTGTAAGATATGCAACAAGGTCCACTTTGACAGACATGTGGGGAAATGAACATTTGCATGAAGACATTCCATAAAAACAGAGGAAGAAAATATGTACTTCTTTGACAACGCAGGCTCCACTTTGACTCCAGACAAACTTCCTGCGTTATCACATTAGCAAGATGAGCATAGGGCCATATTCATGGATCAGATATTACATGACCTTTAATACTTTACCTATTTCTTTTGGAATATTGTGCTTCTTTGTAGAGGAATCAGCAGCCAGATCTCCCTTTCCTTGAAATTACCAGTGACACAATTTAGAAGGAGCAAAATATTGTTGTATGTCAAGGTTTTGATTGCAAGATGCACCAAATTTAAGTGAAACAATGATTACACCAATATTTCACTCAGGGTGTCTACAGGAAATCCGGGAACATATCATTAAAAAAAAAGATCACCTTCGGCACAAGAAGTGTTGTGTTGCGGAACAGCAGTTGACAAGTTGAGCAAATTTAGAATATCCAAGGAACGATGTTGCATCTGAAATGGCCTAGTACTGGTTGGTTCATCGGCACAGCTGTCAGATCCAACTCCTAGCTGCTGCTGCTGCTGTTGCCGTCTCCTCTGTTCAAAGTATTGCTGTTGCCTTAAGATTCAAGAATGAAAAGAAAGCAAAAACCGTGAGGTCCAAATGCGATGACATCTTTCGTTGAGAAGCATATGGTGTAAGGTTTTTCATAAAAAGAAAAATAATGGTTCTACACACCTCTTCTTCACAGAAGTGTGCGTCTGAAAGCTCCAAAAAGGATGCCACGAGAGAAATAAAGGGTCAGAGCTGAAATAACTTATCATCTCATTTGCATAATATGGAAATGGTCAGGGGTTGTGTTAACAGGATTGACAAATTAGCATACCCTTCGTAGAGAAGCAACTACTTCTTATTCCTAATATAACTGTATTACTTATTTAAAAAAGGTAAAAAAAATTACTCACGGCAGCGACTTTCCGCCTTGATCCTCCCATCCACTGCAGCATTCTTAGCTTATGATAGAGCTGCAACTTAGAATTACGAGCAATCTGAACCGAGCAAAACGCATCGTCAATCTTCCATTCGAATAGCAAAGCAGCTCGTCCAACAGAATTCAAATTCAAACTAGAAACGAAAGAATCATCTCGAGAAACTCGCAACAAGAAACCTAAGGCATTATCATGAGCAGACGATCACTACCAGAAAAGAAACCTAAGGCAAACTCGGCAACAAATCGCGAGAATAACAAGAAAAAAACCAGTAATTAATCCAGAAAATCAACTGATTCAAAAGTCATACTTAGAAAACCGTTGAAGCTTCCTCGGCCTTCGGGAATCAATACCAAATTCGTCGCGCAAACCAGTAATTAAGAACAATGGCAACTGCTATGAAGGAACGATGAAGACGATGAATTTGAGGAAGAAGGCGAAGGAGATCCCGATTGAGAGGCGAAAGATCAAATTTGCAGTACATGAAGTCAAAATGAGATCAAAGACGACGCGTGAGCGAGAGCGGTCTCCTCATTTTTCTGATTTCGAAAACGTCACTGTGCTTTCCACTATGAATGTTGTTTCCCGCGGGCGCAATTTATCCATACGGACACCATTATGATTGGGCCTGTCCACTGGGTGGGCTTAGGCCCATTAAATAAGATATGCATCAATTTAGAAGAATTTTATGTTGATTAAAAATTAATTAGAGTGGTTTTGTCTAATTAAAATATATACATCTTATTTAGATAAAACTGAAAAAAGAAAGGTTTCTTTTACCGTTTTATCACCCACACCACACAACATAATTTTCATTTATAAAAGTATTTATTTTCTAAAAAATTTATGTTTATTCAATTTCTAACAAGAACGCGTATTTCCCGTCTGGGGCTTTCTTTTAATACAACTACAATTCACAAAAGCAAATTACTTTCGCTTTTTGTTTTTTACAAAAACATTCCAAAGGCATACACAACTGTTATGACAACAACAATATTACAAAACCCTGAATCAATCAAGAGGACCTCGGCTTCATAACAATGGTGGAGTGATTGAGGATGTGTAAGCTGAACTGTCCACCTTTCTCAGTGGTATCAACCTGAGATTTCCCTGGCGGAGGAAGCAGCTCGAAGTTCTGAACAAGCCTTCCGATGGTGATTCCCAATATGGGCAGTGCCAAAATGATTCCTGGGCAGCTTCTCCGTCCCACTCCAAACGGGATATACCTGAAATCATTCCCGTTCGCTTCCACATTCGACTCTTCCTCCAAGAACCTCTCTGGCCTGAACTCGTCCGGTTTCTTCCAGTTGTTTGGATTGTTGGCCAGAAACCAGGCATTGACGAGGATCTTGCTCTCGGCTGGTACGTCATACCCTCCGAGCTTTCCTTCATGGAGGTTCATGTGAGGCACGAGGAGAGGAATCGCCATTCTGTATCTCAGCGTCTCCTTGATCACGGCCTGCAAGTATGGGAGCTTGTGGATGTCTGGCTCTGTTATCTGGACGCCATGTCCAAGAACAGTGTCCAGTTCGTTCCTCAGCTTTGTTTGGATCTCCGGATGGTTCACTAACTCAGCAATCCCCCACTCGATTGACCATAACGTCGTCTCAATCGCTGTTCCGAAGAACCAATTGTCAGAAATGGTAACAAATTTGCAAATTTTCAAATGCATTTTTGGTAATATTGTATTTCTTTTTGGGCGTCTAATTCTAATGCCCCAAATCTTTTTTTGTCAAAGGCCCCAAATCTTTACCCTATAAATATACATACCAAACTATGAACTACCAAAGACTTCTCTGTAACAAGACGTAACGTGGGGACCGATCACATGTTTTGAAAGGGACAAAGAAGTTAAGAACAGTTACCGGCGACGTTGATGTTCTCGACGATGTAAAGAACGTTGTCCTCATTGATCTCTCCCTTCTGCTGAGCATCCAAGATGTGATCAATGGCGCATTTCAATCCTTCGTTGCTCGTAGGCTTGGTGCTCGCAATTTGCCTGAGTGATTTAACCAGTCAATCCAAAAATCCCACATTGCCAGTAACAAAATTGATCAAAAGAAAGATCGAGATGACGAACGAACTCACTTCCTCTCGTCGACGAAGTGCTTCTTGAACAGTTGCAGCCTCCGTTCCTTTACCTCCTTGCAAATCTTCAAATACCCTCTCAGGAACGGCCTAAGGATGGGGATAAAATCTCCATAGTTGTACTCGAAGCTCTGAGCCAATCGACTTCTCTCGCCGTTCAAAGCCTTGAGCTGAACGAACAACGGATCGTCCTCACTCTCAAACCTTCTGTCGAACATAATCCGGTACATATTGTTGTACATCATCAGCTGAAGCCTCTTCCTCAGCACGACTCCCTTCGTCGCAGCATCAGGATTCTTCTTCATATCCTCGACCACACACGCCGCTTCGTACTCCCAACCCTGCCGATTCTGCTGCACGACCTTGTTGGTGAAGAACGGCACCGTCATGATCCGCCGCATCTTCCGCCAGTGCTCTCCGTAGACCGTGAACACCATGTCCTGACCCTTCCCGGTGAAGATATCGAAGACGACGTTCCTGGTTCTGGATCCGAACTCAACGCCCTGCGTGTGGAGCACATCCTTCGCTAGATCCGGCGACGAAACAACGACGAGATTTCTCTGGCCCATTCGGAGGAGGAATATTTCTCCGAATTTTCGAGCGAGATCGGTGAGATTGCGGTGATTGAGATCATCTCCGACTTGGAGCCAGTTTCCAAAAACCGGAACCGGTAACGGACCCGGAGGAAGCTTCAATTTCTTGCCACGGAGCTTGGAAATGGCGATCGCGAGAAGCACCGCGAAGAAGACGGCGATGAGGCTCTTCTCTAACAAGAGAAGGTCCATTTCCCGGCGCGAGAAGGGCTCAGAGATAGAAGAAGCAGTCAAAGCTGCTGAAAAACAGGAGTGTTGGGAGAGACTGAATTTATAATAGAAAGCGGAAGAGTTGTGGGCTTGGGCCCCGCGTTACGGAATATGACGGCGTTAGGTGGGTGAACGCAAGAACTTCTGACGCCGTTATATTTGACGGAGTGAGTGGTGTGAATTGGGGGGAAGGGTTTGGTGAGCGAGAGCCGAGAGTTGCTGATGTCAAACTGTGTATTAAGATTAACCTCTTGTGCCTTTAATTACATGTAATTATTAAAGCTAATAGATTTAGAAAGTAAAATTATTAATGGTTTAGTTCTTGAAGTATGCCTACAAGTTATCATATTATATAGACCGTCAAAGATAATGTACGATATTATTTTTAAACATTTGCATATTTTCGGCTTAATATATATATATGTTAAAATAAAAGCGATGCTATGGGTTGACCGCATAAAAGTGACGTTATAGGTGTAGTAAAATAAGACTACACCTACCACGACAGAGAGTGATGGAACTACCTACCTACCTACTACACTCCAAATCCACAAATGAGAAGGTTAGAAGTTGACTTTTATTGGACAGGATATGTGCTAGGTAGATGACTAAGCAACAAGCGCCTGTAGCTCAGTGGATAGAGCGTCTGTTTCCTAAGCAGAAGGTCGTAGGTTCGACCCCTACCTGGCGCGTCTATTTAAGATTCTTGTTTTAAATTTAATTATTTGTTTTGTTTTCACGATAAAAATGTCGATGTTCAGACCATACGATCACGAAATTTCATGTGTCCTCGAAGCCTCACGTGGTGCATATCTTGCCTCTACGGATTATAAATAGAAGTATGGTCAGTGAGATGATAAGTCAATGGCGATCGGGAGTGATATAGGAATTGGGCTTCAACAAATGTGGGCTTTGGGCCCAAGCTGTGTGTCCGGCCTTCTGAGTTAGTTGGGTCCGACATGGGACCCATGTTAAATTATAACTATTCCAATGAAAAAGTCTCATGATGCTTACATATACCGCCATGCATTTATTTATTAAATATATCACATAATGTTTAATTGAATTAACTGCTCTGGTTGACTTGGCCCTTCGTTCTCTATTTATTTTATTTTCTTTAGGAAAGTGAGTTCAAGGCTTGTTTGCACGACTACATAAATATATGTAAATCTTATAATGTTTATATGATACTATATATAAAACATTTTTTACACTTTGTATTCCTTAAAATATATATCTGTAAAAGACACTTCGAATATAAAGTTTTTTTAATCTAATAAATTTTTTTAGTATATTTATATGCATTTATATAATTGTGATAATTTTATATTATTAATTTTAAAACATCTATAAATTATTTCTCCCAACACGTTAAGCTAATCGTTTTTTTTTCTTTGCATTCGCCACCTATTGTTGCTTTCCCCCGATTTTTATAAACAAAGTGCTTATGGACCATTAATTAATAATTGGCGTTGCATCCTCATCGGAAATCAATATATAATATATTTTTTTCCTAGGCCACTTGGATTTATTAGTTTTTCTAGTTAATTCCATGTTCATACTACAGCTTGGCATAAATATTAATTATTATTTTTCTGTAATTTGTTATATAAACTCTTATTTAAAATCAAAGTGCTATAATTAATTTGGATTTAGAAATTTTTATATGCTTCTCTTTAAATTTATATTGGATTTGTAGTTTTGTATCTGCAACCTGCATTAGATCCAACAATATTATGTCACTTGACCAAAAGGATAAAAAAAATCGGACACAACCGAGAGCTGGTCTCCCCCGCCACCAGCCGAGACGGGGAACTGCGGCGGCGGCGGGATTCAGACAACAAGTCGTTCTTCATCGATGAACTTGTCAAAATTTTCAGATAAGAACCCAAAAATGTCGAGCAACAATGTCGTATCATTCGACAGGTCTTTTACCAAATACCACCAACTTCCTACTGCTGTGTTCTTTGCTTTTTTTTTTAAAATCATCTTCTTCTTTGTTGGGTTTTCTTCTCAGGCTGAGAATCAAGATGTTATCTCCGAGGGCTTCGTCCTCTGGTTTTCATCTTGTCGCTCTGCTCTTCTGCTGCTTCTTATTCCTCGCTCCGATCTCTGCTCAAGACGTCATCACTGACCCTGTTGAAGGTTTACTTACATCTCTCTTGGGTTTGAATTCAGACTTATGTGTTTCTTTCTTCTGATTATCGCTCGTTATTGTGTTCATCGTCGGGAATTGTCGGGAACAGCGAGGGCGTTGCGAGGGATAAGAAGTAGTTTGAGCGATCCTTTCCAGAAATTGAGGAACTGGGGACGCGGGGACCCGTGCACGTCCAATTGGACAGGCGTTCTCTGTTTCAATTCTACTATGGATGATGGTTACCTTCATGTCCGAGAATTGTAGGTCTCCATTTTCTCTTGTCGATTTCCCTCTTCTGGTTTTAAATTCTGGTTTTGTTCGGTTCAATGATTCTCGTTTGAAAAACATTTATTGGGTTCTTGTTTTTTACAATCAGGCAACTACTCAACATGAATCTCTCAGGGAACTTGTCCCCGGAGCTTGGTCGGCTGTCTCGCTTAAGAATCTTGTATGGACACAACGTGTTGTGTTGAATACTTTCTCTCTGATTGTTTTTCTGTCTTTAAATAGTGACATTGGTTTCTCTTTGTTTATTGGATGCATTCTTCAAAATGTCAGGGATTTCATGTGGAACATGCTAACCGGAAATATACCTAAGGAAATCGGAAATCTCACCTCCTTGGAACTCTTGTAAGTTGCAGGACCCTGATTCTGGATTTACCACACATATATATCTCTGCGTGTGTGTGTGCGCCATTGTTCCTTGCTACTTTTTGTCCCCATATTGTGACATTCTGCTACGTTTTCAGGCTCTTGAATGGTAACCAATTAACAGGGTCTCTGCCCGATGAGCTCGGCTATCTCCCACAGCTGGACAGAATCCAGATCGATGAAAACCGTATATCAGGACCGATACCCAGTTCTTTTGGAAATTTAAACAAGACTAAGCATTTGTGAGCGCTTTGTTTTTCGTCGGGACTTGTTCATAAAACAACACTAGCTTCTCTCTTTCCCTCCTCGGCTAAGGATTTTGTCATGGTGCTCGTCTATGCTCGGAAGCGCCTCCCCGAATCATCGAGCAAGTGAAAAAAAAAAAAGGAAAGATCAAACCCTCTTTCTCCTTCAGAAACTCCTTTTGCTGCTTTGCTTCAGGAACAAGAGTAATGATAAATAACAATAATAATCTTGAAGAAATTATTAAAGAATATTAGGGTTGACTTGTTGATCTTATCTTCTGCCAGTCACATGAATAACAATTCGCTCAGTGGGCAAATACCGCCAGAGCTTGGCAGGTTGCCATCACTTGTTCACCTGTGAGTCGATCCGTAGCTGGCTGATTCCTCTTTCTTTCGAATGTTAATATTTTTGTTACGGTATATGCTGATTAGAAACCCTTTTATATATGTTTTCAGCCTTCTTGACAACAATAATTTATCAGGCTATCTTCCTCCCCAGTTATCCGAAATGCCAAATTTGCTCATCGTGTATGCTTCTTCTTCCCTTCTTTGGAGCCATGAGGATTTCCCGGAATCTATTACCGTACTGACTGATGAGCTTTGTGTTTGGCCATTTCTTCTTCTTGCTGTGTGTGTGTGTTTTTTTTTTGGGCAGACAACTTGATAACAACCACTTTGATGGGGCTACCATTCCACCTTCTTACGGAAACATGTCTAAACTTCTGAAGCTGTAAGTGCCAGTTCCCCGATTTCGTTTTGAAGTTAACTTGGTCAGGTCTTTGAAATGTGAAGCCCAAACCACAATCATCTTCTTCCATTAATGCACCTGATGAATATAATATGAGGATCAAGTGTAGGACAAACTGGTCTTCTTCTCCATCATTTCGGACATCATATGTTTTTTTCATGTGCGTGTAACGTATTTTTCTTTTGTTCAATTGCAGAAGCCTTAGAAACTGCAGCTTGCAAGGACCAATGCCTGATCTAAGCAGGATCCCACACCTTGGTTATTTGTAGGTTCAATATCTTATATTTAGTCATTTCCTCAAAATATCTTATATTTAGCTGATGGCCATCCTGCATGGTTTCCAGGGATCTTAGCCAGAATCAGTTAAATGGATCCATACCTACAGGGAAACTTTCCGACAACATCACAACAATGTATATATAATTTCATACCCTATTCATTTGTGTTCAGTATTCTTCAAACGGGCGATTTTTAACTGCGATATCGTTTGATGAAAATGCGAGCAGCAATCTGTCCAACAACAGTCTAACTGGAATGATCCCAGTAAATTTTTCAGGTCTTCCACGCCTTCAAAGATTGTGAGTGTGCTCTTTTTCTGATTCGTGAAATGCTGTTGTTGTGTTATATCGTCTTTGGAAAATAAGAACAATAATGGTTTTTGTTGGCTTCTCGACGTTGCAGGTCACTTGCAGATAATGCCTTGAATGGTTCCATTCCCTCTGATATTTGGCAGGACAGAGTTTTGAACTCAAATGAGAGCCTTGTTGTGTATGTCCTTTGAAAGATCATATCTCCTGTTCTTTTTCCTACAAGCATGTGCCAGTCCAGACCGGACTGACTTTTGTTTGTCAGCACATCTTTTACCAGACATCATCTCCTTTTTTTCTTTGCAGGGATCTGCGGAATAACGGGTTTTCAAATATTTCCGGCAGCTTTAATCTCCCTCCAAATGTGACTGTCTGGTTTGCTTCTGCAACTTGCTTGTGTTTTTTGTTTTAAATATGTTCTTGTATGTCTCAAATTATGTTCCTGAAGTTCTGGTCCCTCCTAACTTAATATTGATTGTTCTTCTGCAGGCTCCAAGGCAATCCATTGTGCCCATCTGCAAATCTGCTCCAATTCTGTGGACCTCGACCCGAGGGAGATGATACAATGGCTTCAACAACAAATCTTACTGGGGCTTGTCCACCTTTTGGATGCCCACCTCCTTATGAATATTCTCCCGAGCTCCGTGAACTCTGCTTTTGTGCCGCTCCTCTTCTCGTTGGATACCGGTTGAAAAGTCCCGGTTTCTCGGATTTTCTTCCTTACGTCGACGAGTTTGAGGAATACTTGACCTCGGGTCTCAAGTTGAATCTGTATCAGCTTCACCTTGATTCATTCCAATGGCAGAAAGGGCCCAGGCTTCGGATGTACCTCAAGCTCTTTCCCGTAGTTCCTGCTACCACCAACGGCTCTCGGGAATTCAATGCTAGCGAGGTTCGGAGAATCAGGTCGATGTTCACGGGATGGAATATCCCGGACAGGGACTTGTTCGGTCCTTACGAGCTTCTCAACTTCACCTTGTCAGATATCTACCGAGATGGTTTTGCCCCCTCGAAACCTTCTTCCTCAAAGAGCCAGTCTCCTCGCCGTCAACTACACTTATTATTCTCATTGATCTTGCAGTGTTTCCAGCTTCAAGATCCGGCGTAAGTAAGGGCGTGGTGGTGGGAATAGTTCTCGGCGCGGTTGCAGCCGCTGTCATTATAACCGCTGTTATCTCCCTCGTCATTATGAAGATGCGTATGAAAGGATATATCGCGGTTTCTAGGAGGAAGAGATGTAAGATTTTTTCCTTAAATCCTGCAAAATGGGTGGATAGTAGTAGAAATCTGTTAAGATCGAAGATCCCGACAAGATAGTTTTCCCGTTCTTGATAGCGTTTATCGATGCGAAAACTCGTGTTTACAAGGGAAATACAGCAATGGATATGAACATAGATATGATGCCTCTTATCAAAATCTTTAAATGTTTCTCATGGTGCAGCTTCTCGGGCTCCGATTAAAGTGGAAGGGGTGAGGAGCTTCACTTACGGGGAGCTGGCTCAGGCTACGGACAGTTTCGACAGTTGCGCTGTTATCGGGCAAGGAGGTTACGGAAAGGTCTACAAAGGCATCCTCGGGGATGGAGCGGTTGTCGCCATCAAGAGAGCAACAGAGGGATCATTGCAAGGGGAGAGGGAGTTTCTTACAGAGATCCAGCTTTTGTCGAGGCTACATCATCGGAACCTTGTCTCTCTGCTCGGATTCTGCGACGAAGAAGGCGAACAGGTAACCCCCTTTTTTTGTTCAAATTGTTTCGTGTTTTTTCTCCTTCTTACTGATGTTTTGCTACTACTTAAGCTTGTATATGTTTCAAGAATGCAGATGCTGGTTTACGAGTTCATGCCAAATGGTACCCTGCGAGATAACATTTCTGGTACAAATCTTTTGCTCTCTGGTCCTTGTGATCATCAGATCAGATGATACGCAATTTTTTTTATGTTCCTCTTTAATGTTTGGGTATGCATTGATAAACTTAGGGGTGGGACTTAAAACCCGATACCCGTGGGTTCACGGGTGTTCAGGATACGAGTATCCGGAATGCGAATACTCAGGACAGAATGCGAATACCCGTGGGTGGGACGATACAAGGAACCTGGACCATGGGTTTGGTTTTTTTTTTTTTGGTGGGGTGGTGGGGTTATTCCGAGGGTACCCGCTGACAGGAAAAAGGACATTTATATTTCTAGTGTTTTAGGTTAGTTACGATGATGTCTAGGTCTATTTTCGTACAAAATTATCATTATACCCTAATGGTTAACTGGGTCAACATACATTTGTTGGTTTCCGCGGGTACTCGACCGTACGAGTCTTGCGAAGGCTAGACGGGGATAAATCGATCATAAGAACCGTGAGCGTGGGTTGGGTGCCTCCGAAAATTCGGGTACCCGGTCTGCGCCAAACCCGGTGGATATACCTATGTATATCAAACTCTTGTTTACGAGATTTCTTGTCGCATAAACAGTTAAAATCTTTGTATATGTATGCGTGTTACAACAGGTAGATCAGGAGAATCTCTGAGCTTTGCGACGAGGATGAGGATAGCTTTAGGTTCGGCAAAGGGAATTATGTATCTGCATACGGAAGCTGATCCGCCGATATTTCACCGCGATATCAAAGCCAGCAACATATTGTTAGACTCCAAATTGGTCGCAAAGGTTGCGGATTTCGGATTGTCAAGACTTGCTCCGGTTCCTGACATGGAAGGCGTTGCTCCGGATCATGTTTCCACAGTCGTAAAGGGGACTCCGGTAAAGATCTTGATCGCATCTTTTCATTTTTTGTTTCCTACTCAGACCATACCTCGAAAAACGGAAGTTAAGAGTGACTTGTCGGTTCTTGTGTTGGGTTCTGCAGGGTTATCTAGACCCAGAATATTTCCTGACTCGTAAATTGACGGACAAAAGCGATGTGTACAGTCTCGGCGTCGTGTTCTTGGAACTCTTGACTGGAATGCATGCAATCTCACACGGCAAGAACATCGTTCGAGAGGTTACAACAACATTCTCGATCTTAATATCTGTCTTGATCGCCTCTCTGAACGATTCGTACCTATATTTTCGACGGTCAGGTCAAGACTGCGTATCAATCCGGGACGATACTGTCGGTGGTGGATAAGCGAATGGGGTCCTGCCCGGCCGAGTGCGTGGAGAAGTTTGCGACCTTGGCACTGAGATGTTGCAGAGTGGAGACGGAGACAAGGCCTTCGATGGTTGAAGTGGTGAGAGAACTCGAGGGTATATGGAATCTGATGCCTGAATCTCAGGTTGTCAGGACTGCAGATTCCTCCGAGATGATGACGTCATCATCGTCGATGACGATGACGAGTTCGTCGATCACATCAGCGACAAAGAATCCGTATTTATCGATGGATGTATCCGGCAGTGATCTTGTAAGCGGAGTCACTCCCTCCATAGAACCAAGGTAGAGGGTAAGCCATATACTGCATAGGGATGTTTTTTATTACAACGCTTCAAATGTTCGTCTGTTTTTTTTTTGTCGTTGTTATTGTACAGTCCTTGTTCTTAAGACATTACTGTCACATCACACACTATAGAATTTTGTGAATAATGATGAAAAATTATCATAATAGATTATACAATTTTTTTATAACAAGTTTTGAAATAAATAAACTAATAATCATAATATATTTTTGTGAATGTGTTGAAGAATTATCAGAATCTATAGAAAAGTGATTAATTTTCAAAACTATTTTTGTACTTTCTTTATATTGTGACTCAATGATGTAGCTAAGACAACAAAACATAAGACTATAGCGAGTTAGAGCCATACACGGTGTGTGTGTGTGTGTACAGAGATATGTTCACTGCTGCTTATGTATGTTTCTAACCTATGAAATTGTAACTAAATCTCAAATTGGGGGAGACTCACAAAATTGGTGGTTCGTTTCTGGGGTGATGATGCTTCTTGCTTCTCGACTACTACTCTTCCTCAGCATCACCACCAAGCTCATCATATGAATCCCACCACGACACAGGTCCCAACCCATCACCATCAATCAACCCCTGAATTCCAAAAAAAAAAAAACATGACTTTTAGTAGAAGAAGAGATCTCCATCTCCATTTCCATCCATCTTTCCCATAGGACCCATACATTCTCCGAAGAGAGCTTACAGTAATAACACATACTAGCAACTAGGGAGGGGAGTGTACTTACAGTGATCACCATAGGAGCAAACGGCTTTGATTGCTCCGGTCTCTCTATGGGAACCGCTGGATAGGTAACATTCTCCACCCGAAACTTGATCTGCCATTTCACATGGTTAGAGTTCGGTTTTGAGACCAGAAACTTGAGAAATTGTGAGAGCCAAAGTTAAACAACCTTAAAGGAGTCATCAATAACATAGTCTTGACCGTCATACTCCCACACCCATCTCATTTGATTCCTACTCAGGAAACAAACCCATCATTATCCAGTGAGATTCAATGGAGGAGGAGGAGGTGGTGTAATATAGCACAGAAGCCCATTTTTTCTTAGAGAGCAGGCCTCATTTCTTACCTATTACAAGGATCAGCCTCAAAGCGGTTTGGTGCTGGCAAAAGGGGGGACGGTACATAAATATCCTCAAAGAACCCAAGCGTTACTGCCAGTTCCAGAGGTGGGCATGAGAATGTATGTATAAAAAGATTAATATACCAAATACAAACTTCCATGAAAACAACAATCCAAATTATTTCGAGAATCTTCTGTTCTCCCACATTTTCCTCACAGAGCATATATGCTATGGCCACTGATTATTTGTAACTGAACCCACTTGTCAGCATCAAAATTGTTTGAAAATTAAGAAGAGAACATTTGAGTACTCACAGCGCAAGCCATCGGCATCAGATTCTTTAAGCTTGGCAACTATGATCTCACCAACAAATGGACGAAACACAACCATTCTAAAAACCACCTACACAGGATGAGGTTTGAGTAGATGCCCGATCAGAGTTTGGCAAGTATATGACTCATGGACACACCTCAACTCAACTCAATACTACAAGGAAATTTAAACACTGATAATTCTACAAAAGATAGAGGGATATTGCACGAAACAAATAAAACTAATTAAAAGAGCACATATGTATCTACGAATATACACCAGAACATGTTCATTAAAGTAAAAGCAAAAAGAGAAATACTCCTAAATATAATTTTACCGTATAGGACGCTGCCCCATCCCCTGGAAATACAAATCCTCCTTTTATTGATTGAATGTCGTACACAGATACGCAAAGTCCTAACTTCGCAACAACCTTCCATGTGAAAGATAAACTTCAGAATTAACCATTCGCCTAACAAAATCCATGGAAATAAACAAAAACCAGAGGAACAAGTGGCCAACCTTATCCAAGAAAATACTTTCAAGCACAGACTTGATAGCATCTTCAACAGGGAGGTTAAGGAGATGCGGAGGCACTCGTAATGTATGCTCAAGCTCGCTAAGATAAAACATTTCTGCAAATTGGTCTAAATCAACATCTGCAAACAAATGACAATGAAACCACTCATTACCGGTAACAAGCCAACTAGTGTAATGAAATGCTCAGTCTCAGAATACACGAGCATTGTATAATACATGAGCGAACTAAACCAAGTTAACTCGCGAACACACGAATTGACCACCGGGCCCACTAACCACCCGAATTTGATCTGATTTGCCCTATGAATTGAGACATATATATATGCCCTTTTCTACATATCCAGTTGTCTGTTTTTTTAATCCAATCTCTGGGAACGTAGATACGAAGTCCAACTACATGATTCTACTCATAGAAATTTTTTGGCTTGTGATTTTCGTAGAAATGATCAGAACCATAACACATATATTGACAAACAATCATTATCTTCTCTTATATCAATAGTCAATTAGTTCACCGAAGACTCACATACTCTCAAAATCAGCCCAGATATTTTAGTTTAGAACTTCTTCCCTTTAGGTATCGGTTCTCCACCACCTCCACCTGAACCAAAAAAAGAAAAAGAAAGAAACAAGCAAATTTACAAACAATTTCACAAAGAATTGAACCGACATACGTGATAAGAAACTGCACCATCATGGAACAAAAAAGCTTCAAGCATTCAGCCTTCGCATCGCAAATCATCAGAGACACAAGGATCAAAACCCAATACTTGGGCATTGTTTTCTTTTTTCCGTGTTTGAACTCAAACACTTGCATTTAAAAAATTCGAAGGTTAAAAGTCTCTGTCAAAGTCTAAATCTTGCTGCTGTATGACTAAGGATCGGTACTACGTAGGTACCACCACACACACGCACACAAACGCACAGAAAAAATTTGTCTTGCCGCATGAAATTAGAATTTCGACACAAGTAGAATTCAGAGTCAGAGATCGAATAGAAACCATAATCCAAGAAATCTCAGCCCTAATTCGAACCAAACCTCAATCAGAATCAACCCCTATCAACCACTAGCAACCAGAATCGAGCCAGTGGCGAGAGCCAACTCGGTGGAAACTCACCTGCTACTGCCGACAATACTAAGAAGCGAGAGATACAGACTGCGACGGTGCCAGAGAGTGGAGAAAGGGAAGCCAGACAAGGAAAGGGAAAATCACTCAAATATACGAAGTCGCATCAATTTCAACTATACACCCAAAACAAATTATTTTTCAATTCTATACTGTTTTTACCTTTAAAAAGGTCCGAAATAACTTTTATTTTATATTTTTTATGATTTTATTATATAATTAGTATACAACTAAAAAATGAAGTATTTATGATTGTATAATAACTAAAAATCTTATAAACAATGTATTTTTTGCCATCTAATTTAGAATCAATTAAAACTGTATTTAAAATCAATTACAACTGCATTTAGAATTAATTACGATTTTATAATTATAATTATACAAAATTAATTACTTTGCAATTATAATTATACAGTTTCATAAGTTTCATAAGGGTAATATGATCTTTTCGAAAAAATTTAATATGTTATATTTTTGTCGATGTATGCGAAAAAAATTCCTACGACGCTTTTGGTATGGTCGAATGATTTGCCCACGGGGAAAGGGAAAATGCGTCTGTTATCGCAGGAAAAAAAAAATCAGAAAAAATATTGCGAGCAGAGATTTGGTTTTAGGGTTCCAGTGTGAAATTTCTGGCCGCGCCAACAAAATCACGAGGTTTAACGGGCCTGCCGTTTAAACCCAACAAAGTTAATAATGGGCCGGGCTGGATTGGACCAGGCCATTTAGGAGAGTCCCTTTGACTATCGCTCGCTGTCGCCTTCTTCCTCTCGGTTCAAGTTTCGTTGGTAGGGATAATTGCCGATCGAAATTCATACCCAAATCCAAAGATGGGGATTCTTATTGTTCATGTATGTACCCATGTTCGTCCAACCAGTGAACGAATATCCGAAATTTCAGATACAACACTCGTAATCACCTTATCCAATTCCCGTGTCCATCCCCGATCATGTGCACAATCTAATCTTAGGATATGTCCCTCCCGTTCCGCTATCTACTTACCATCTCCATGTGTCATGTATCCTCCAGTTACAAAACGCCACTTGGCAGAGACCCTAAGAGCATCCAGAATCTAAACTGGTTAGCCACAGTGGCTGCCTGGAGCCACTGTATAACCCACCTGGCCTCCGACATCAAATACCGTTATATCTAAATAGCTTCTGTAACATTAAATCCCGCCCGGAAACAAAAAGAAAAAAAAGAACAAGATTTATACTGAGAGATATTGTTAAAGAATGAAAGGTAATTGATATTGGAACATAAAGAGGTGGAGGTTTTGTTATAAAAAGAAACGAATCGAACCTATTCTGGCTTTTGCATTTCAATCTGGACAGAAGTGATTGGATCTGATTCGTGTCAAGCGTGGATATTGCACCGTTGCAAGTAAGGGTGATTGTAAGGGACATGCCTGTTCCAGAAGGGTTTGTACATAGCGATCCCGATATCCAACCACGGCTTCCTGATTCCATCAAAGTGTATGACCGCAGCTTGTTCAACCTCGGTCTCTTTAACCCCTGACTCGTAACCTAAACCCACCAAATGCCATCTCTTGTCCAACGGCAATACTTGCTTATAGAAGGTCAACCAACCTATTGGCAAGCTCCCTGCCTTCCACACTGGTCTCTTTGTTCCCTGCGAGTTCCCCAAACAGGTCAAAAGCCAAACAAAAACCCTTCACTCATCACGTCCTATTTCAGATGCCCACACCAAAAAACAAACAACTCAGCTTTACAGAAGTTTCAAGAGGTAAGGAGGAGGTGTTTGTCATCTGAGGATAGCAGGGTAGGATATATATCAAACTGCAGTAGAGATCACAAACGAATAGGATAATACTTACCTGGTGCAAGTGTTTCAGATACACGGAAGTCAAATTCTGTCTTCTCCACTCTTTGAGATCAAATAGGTTCATCCCAAATGCCCACATGCAAGCTTTAGGGTCAAACTTCCTAGCAACCCATGCGTCTGAGAAATTAATAAATCTGTTCATCAAAGGTTTGCCTTCGATACACGTCTCTACAGCTCCGACTACTTTCCCCTTCATGTCAATGCTCCACAAACCACTTAGATCTCTTTGGACTACTACATCATGGTCAAACAATACAATCTTGTTCACACTGGGGAAAATATCAGGGAGAAAGAAACGGGCATGATTGAGGGTAGAAATGAATCTTGGATCACTGGAATTCTGCTTCATCAGTAATTGGGGATAATCTGAAGGAAAAACATCCATATCGTCAATGTTTTGGATCTGAATTGTAGCTCTGGGAAGAGGGTTTAACAAAAACCACATGGAGACTGCTGGGTAATTAAGTGAATCTGTCAACACATGGAATACAATTTTTTCTGGGTCCTGCACGCACAAACATCACGGGGTAAAGTTCATGAGGGACTCCAACAAAACTTTTGAAATGATTAATGATATGTGCAGAAGTATACTTTCTGACTGTCAGAGATTAAAGGATAATGAATGATAATCGGTGCGACTGCATACTTCCACAACATTTGAAAAAAATTAAATATAACCATGCATAATTTCTTTTTAAAGGGAAATCTTGAAAGTTTCCTCAACAACTGCTGTCCATTTTCTCACTCCAATGGAGAAGAAAATTAGCAAAAATTCTGAACCTAAACAAAATTATTACTGCAGGCCCCCAGTAACAGTAGTTACGTCTATGTAAACACGCAAGTTATAAAGCTTTCACGTCCAGGTGAAATTGTTAGTGCACAAGTTCAAAATATATTTTTGACTAACTACACGTTCAAGTTTCTGACATTTTTCACCGGAAAATAGAAAACAATAGTTGCCCACACAGCTCAAACAGAACAAAAATGTGGAGCACCATATCTTTCCTTTTTGGGTAAAAAAGGTAAATAAATGTGGCGCATATTTACCTTTGTAGAAGAGACCGTAGATTTAACAACAGCAGCACAAGCCAAAACATTGTCAGAGAAGACAACGTAATGATAGAGAGCAGGATCATCATGATGTTGCTGGTTAGGCATCTGTCTTTTCTCAGGATCCAGGGCAAAGTATTCTGTTGTCAGCTGCATTGAGAGACAGTGAAGCCCTTTTGGGGTGGTTCTTGCAGCAAGCTGCATAAGATATGTTGCTTGATTCTTCTGCATCCGAGCTTGTTCTTCAGTGTTGTAACTCATGGCACGGAGCTTAGTTGCAATGGCATGGCAGTTGTTAAAAACACGACTGGCCTTGTATATCGCAACTTCCACGGGTTTTACTTTGTGAAGAGCGCTGCAAGATTAGTCATGAATCAATCTTGGCTCAATAATTAGATCACACAGCTATTTGCTGGACACAATTCAGGAATTCATTTTTAGAAAAGGAATCAAAAGTTTGTTTACCCACCTCTTTGAGAGATCTTTATCATTGGTAGCATCACCAACTGCCCGTTCCAGCTCTTTCATTCGAGCTCTCAACTCCTTCACAATTTGGGAGTTACTCCCAGGCGGTGCAAAATTAAGGTAGGCTTTAGCTTGGATTATTTTGTCTCTTATCTCCTTCACCCTCTCGTCCGTTGCTTGTTCTGACTGAGCCCTGGCTTCCTTCTCACCCTTAGCTACAGGGTTTTGGAATTCCACGTCATTATTAAGTTGGATAACTATTGGTAAAGATTGATCCTGAAAAAAAGCAAGGAATAAGTTGCAAAGTCTAAACATATGATTTTAATAGCTTAATGAATAACCTAAATTAGTTTTTCAGTTTTCTGATATTTAGCAAGACCCATGGAACTCAAGCCTTGCAATTTATTTTGACGCACTAAACTTGGGATTAAGGTGACGTTGGGTGTTGTATTTACCTAACTACTCTTCAGATTCATATTATCTAAAAGTACGTTTTAGTACAAGAAGCTTCATGACTTAATTTGACACCTATCAAGACTTTTCGAGGAGGGAAAGGCAATTAGAAATCTAAACACAGAGATGTAATGTACTTATATGATCATGGTTCCCCAAAAGTCTGGTTCAAAACTTTGTGATCAGTAGGACTGGTAGAAGAGAGACATTGAACATGCATAATCTGTCTTCCACTGGACTATGCCTTTATATCAATTTTTATTCAGTGCAAATTCACCAACTTTGGGTACCTTTTAGACATTCTCAAGTGTAGGTTTAGACAACAAGAAACTAAGACAAACAATTCAAGATAGAGAACTCGGTTACAGACATTTTAGGATCAAAACCAGCATGAGAAAAGAGCTTTCTCCTACAGAATAATTTTAGGACTACTTTACAGGCTAAACAAATAGCTTACAACTTTATGCTGGTGTGTACATAGAAATGCTTAGCTTCACGGTTCAAGTGCCAAGAAGATCAGGCAATGAAATCAAATGGACTACATACACACCTTCACATCAGAAGATACTACAGTTTGATTTGAGACTATTGCTTCTTCTTCCTTGCTTTTGTGATTATTTCCTGAAACCAATGGCGACTACGGATAAGCAAGCTTCTAGGTTCCAAGCCAATGAAAACAAAACAAAACAAAACTGAAATGTGATGCCCACCTCCAATTTCTGAGAAAAAACCTGTTTTCCGGCCCTCAGTAGACTGCTTAGCAGCACCACTTTCATCAGAAGACCTATATTGTACTACAGAATCAAATTTTACATCCTTGTAGAGAATGAGTTTAGGCTCCTCCAAGCCTTCTTCGTCCTCCTATATCACAAAGCAAAACCAGTTTCAACTATATGAATGCTCTGGAAAAAAAAAAATTAAAGAGATGACTGAAGAAAATCAGTGATAACTCTCAAGTAACCTGTTCAATAGAGTTAAGCCTAAGGTCATTCGTCCTGTATCTCTGCAGAGTAGAAGAAGCAACATCTCAGCTAAAAAAGTCGACTGCTTGATTAAGATATTTGGAAAAGAGAAGAATAAAGTAAAGCTCGGTTCCAAGGTCTTGCATCATCATCAAACACCACTAAAGAATCTCTCATCCGTTAAAAATCGTTCCAAACAATCAGAAAGCCAAAAACTAAAGTCCTGATTTTCTCTTAGAAGTAACTGAACAGAAGAACAAACAGAATGCACGTACAATGTTCGTCAACTCTTCAATGAATTCTCTCCGACCTGCCATATATAAGGAATTAGGCCAAAAACAAATCTTAGATACAAAAGCATAAAGCAAAGGCTACCAAAAAAAACAATTTCACTGCAATCCACGAGATCCCATTAGAGATCAACACCATTAACCAACTCTACAAAGGATCGTCCACTATAATACAGCCATATCAATCAATTTTACATCCGCCACGACAGAAACAGACAAGAGAAATGAAGAAGAAGAAGAAGAAGAAGAAGAAGAAGAAGAAGAAGAAGAAGATGCTCACCAACGGAAGTGATACTCTTGAGCCGATTCGAGACGAAAACGATCGGAGCCAACACAGATACCAAGAGCAACGAGAGGATCAGAATCCTCTGCCACCGACGAACTTGATTCATCAATATCTGATTTTTTTTTATTAAAAACCCCGTAATCTCTTCTCCGAGTACTCTTTGTTGTATCCCTAATTGTTCTCCAGGAAAAAGCTCATTACACAGATTCCGAAATGGTGGAGCCCTACATGATCCAAGACCGACGATGAATTTGGTAAATAATTAGGGTTTCGAGATCTTTCCAGTATCGTTTTGGGGAGGAGCTGCCTGGATTCAGAGAGCTTTCTTGCAAGTCTGTCTATTTTCCTTTTTTTTTACCAAATAAAGAAAACCATTGAAATTTGGATTGTCTTATATAGTTTCTGGGGGTTTGCGCCTATAGATGTGGAGTTGTGAGACCAGGGGTGATGAGGATCTAGTGCGGGCAGGTTTAACATTCAGATATGTGTTCCCACATTTCGACCGCTGAAAACATTAAAGGCCATTTACAAGTTTCAAGCCCATTTACAAGAAGAAACTCTAAAGGCCCATTCTCTTCTCGACGAGAGCCTAACCCTTGAAGGCCCATTCTCCTCTCGACGAGAGCCTAACCCTTGACTGAGTTGTCTCTCTCTCTCTCTCTCTCTCTCTCTCTCTCTCCATGGATTCTGGTCGCTTCTTTGTTCAATCAATAGTCAATACATCCCGGGTCTTATTGTCCGAATCCTACGTCATTTTCTTTTTCTCGTCTTACCACCACTGGCACTCCCCGATCTTCTTCTCCTCCTCAGATCACCAGGCTTCTTCGCTCTTTTCAGTCAATCTACTGGGTCTGAATGAGATTCTTTCTTCTTCTACTTTTTCTTCTCAGTCTATCTCGGTTAATCTCGTCTTAGGCTTTAATCCGATTTGGATTTGAATGTAGACGGTCCGAAACACACAGAGAGAGAGAGAGAGGAGATGGACGTAAATATGGTGCGTTTCGAGGTTTTCGCCTTCGTCCACATGCAGTTTGAGGTCTGTACGTGTGTGTAAGAGCCACGAACTTTCGTGTAGAGAGAGAAAAGGGGAAAGGGATAGAGACAGAGACATGGCGACTCAGGTGGCGGCGGTGAGGAGGGAGTCGGTGGCGGCATGCATGAACTGCCCTCTCTGCAAGAATCTCCTCCGTGACGCCACCACCATCTCCGAGTGCCTCCACTCATGTGAGTTCCTCTCTTCCCTTCTTCTCATCTTTGCATAAATTCTTCTGAAATTGTCGCCTTTTCCGTATCTCTAATCGTCTGGTTATCTGGGTTTGTTCCATTTCGGCTCATACATAATCTGGTAAGTTTGCTCTTCTTTCCGAATTTGTGATGATTATGGGTGTTAAAACTCTTGCTTTCAGTTGATATTGTGTACCTTCTCGTCCGCATGGATCGAACTATTGACATTAATAGCCCCGTGGATGAATCACTCGTTTGATTTTGTTAACAAGAATGATCATTGACCACAATTTGTGTACTCTTCTGCCATGTAGTTCTATATGAGTTGTTCTTCATCTGTTTAGAGACGGCGTGCGGTCAAATCTCGCTGTTGGATATGTTTGCTTTTAAGTTGTCTGGTCATTGGACAAAATCTGTTCTCAGGTTCTGTTAACATGGCAATATTGTTGCGTCTTGTTGGATGGGTTCAGACAGTTTTAGTTTCCTCCTCACTTCTGGGTTCGGCTTCTTCCATGTTACAGCTACATTGTGTATTTGACACCTAAGTATGAACTCTTTATCTCCTGGTTATATTACTGTAGATGAAATTAGGGATAGTTCTTGCTTTTGGCTTCAGTTTCTGCCTACGTGATGGCCAGATTATAAGTGAATCTTCTGCCATGTTGAACAATTAACCATTTTTGTTTATATTTTGTTCGAATTTTAATATATTTTCCTTTCTTGGATGCGCAGTCAATCTACTGATTCAGACGTCATAAATGTATGCTAGAAACCACTTTTGATTACTGTTGCTCCAAAACATTTACCTGAATTGCTTCATTTCTGCACTGTGGAGATCAAATTGATTTACAGATTTAAGGTAATTGGTTGATCCTTTTGATCCGAGATGGTAAATGGTCATGCTGTGTCAATTGCAAAGCTGTGGACTTCCCCTCAAACATTGTAAATGCCAAATGAAGCTCCGTTGTAAAAGCTACAGCCTTTTGGCATGCCAGAAACAACAGAGCACTGCTCGGAGAAATGAACGTTGCTTTCTGCGGTCTCGGAAGCAACTCTGTATAGTTTGCTCCGAGAAATGAAATTGCTTAATGCAGTAGGGTAGGGACCCATATTTATTAGTCTTGCTGAATGGATTGGCGGCAGAAGTCAGAGGTGCAACCAGGTGTCAGGTGGTGAAATTGGTTTGAACTTCAACAAAATATGCAACTTAATTAAGGATGTGAAACATGCTTCTAATTGATCCTCTGTTGAAGAACCAAAAATAAAATATTATGTGATCTTGAATAGATTTGGACGCACTATATATTTCATCCTAAATCACGTCGAATATCATGAAAACTCACAGTTTTTGGTATCATGTGATGTGAGATGTGAGGTCTTAGAAAATGGTGACATCTGGTTGCATTTGATATGAAGTCGCTGTGTTCTATCTGATAGTTTTTTTTTTTTTCTGGTGAAATGCAATAAGTTGTCACACGACTTTCTTATGCAGTTTGTAGGAAGTGCATTTGTGAGAGAATCGCAGAGGATGAGATAGAGTGTTGTCCAGTATGCTATATAGACCTCGGTGGTGCCCCATTGGAGAAATTGAGGTACCTTCATCTTCTCCTCATTTTTTTCCCTACGAATAGTTCCGTGATTTTGTCTTATTATCTCTGTAACATGATAATTTGGTAATAAAGCTGGATGTTTCCATTAATGCCAATCATTTTTATCATTTGGAATGCCATATGCAAGTCTCTCAACTGGAACCAGAAAGAGATCTCTTTGTTAACCCTCTTTTCCTTAACTAGTTATACATGCATGATGGCTTTCTTGTTTTAGGCCTGACTACAGTCTGCAAGATTTGAGGGCCAAAATATTTCCCCGAAAACCAAGAAAAGTTAGAGCGCCTGAAGGTGTGTCCTCCTCCATTACATTACCTGCGAGGAGGAAAGAGAGTTCTATCTCATCATTGGTTGTAAGCACACCTAGAGTTTTAGCCCATGGAGGAAGAACAAAAGCTGCCTCAAGAAAAGATTTACGTGGTAGTGAGGGGGCTGTGAAGAAGGAAGAAGAAGATTATGGGGTTGACAATCCAGAGAGCACGAGCTCGCCTCAAACCCTGAAAAATTTACTGAGAACAAAAGGCAGGTAAAGAAGGTGAGTACTCTATGTGTGTAGCTTTCTCTTTTTTTGCAATTGCTACCGTTTCTTTTGGAGAGTTTCATTCAGGTGTTTCTTCATTTCTGGTACACATTATATGTGTGTGTGTGTGTATATATATATATATATATATATAAACATTTTGCACAACTTCCAATGGGAAGGTTAATATCATTTCTGGGTGACAGATATTCCAATCTCAACCCTTCTGTTTAGGCCTCTATAAGGCTAAAGCATATTCTTTGAAATTACTGTGTAGCTTACCAGCTTGAGAACAGTACAGTTTTTAGTCATCTTTTACACATTACAGTCCATAGATAGGCCTATTAACTACCATTGCACTTACATTCTCTTCTTGCAGTCTTCGTATGAAGATCCTAACCATAATAAAGATACTGAGGATGTTGATGAACCCTGAGATTCCAAATTGGATCTTTGGAAACCTTTAAATTTTCTCCTCGAAGTGGCTAACAAGACAAAACCCTTCAAGCCTTCTGCTTCTCAAGGTTCAGACACTAAATCTGAACAGGCAAATGCACCAGACAATGAAGGTCAAGCGGACAAAAATAAAATCAAGGATCATGAAAGAAAATACAAAGTTGCGGATGAGAAGAATAACAATGGTAATCCTACAACATCCCAAACTGCCACTCCTAAAAGACTGCGTAGGACTCGCCGGAAAAGGTCTGCCTCTTTTGGTGATTCGAGAATTCTGCCCCAACCAGATGATGCTCCGAGTGCAAAGCGGGAGAAGAGAAATCGTCCTGTCTGGTTCTCACTCGTGGCATCCAATGATCAGTAAGACTCTTGCTCTACATTTGAAAATTTCGGGTATTCAAGATTTGCCTTCTCTTTCTCTTTTCGCTTCTTTTTTCTCGGTCTGTTGACATTGTCACGATGTTTTCAGGGAAGGAGAAGAATCCTTACCTCAAATTCCGGTAACCTACTTGAGAATAAAGTAAGTGTTCTTGTCTCCGTTTTACTTCCCCCGTTCTTGATTGCCATGTTTACTTGCTCGATAAAAGAATGCTACCGAGTCTTAGGGTCAACTCTTTCTTTCAAGTCGCGCCGACATTTTCTTGAAGGGATTAAACAAAGAGTCGCACGTTGCAAAGCCTTGCATGCATGCATCGTAATATAATCCAATTGCAGTTCAAGTATTCCGAGCTTTCATTGAAGCTTTTTTTTTGTTTACATTTTCACGATAACCTTCCGTTGTTGCTGCATCGTACCCCGTACTCTGGATTGGGAGTTGGAAAGCGATCAATTCACTATTCAGAAGAATTCTGATTTTATGAGAGATAATATGCTGTTTCGATTTGTGGTAGGGATGGAAATATTCCTGTTTCGTTCATCCAAAAGTATCTCGTGAGGAAGCTTGATCTCGAGAGTGAAACTGAGGTGAGTACCTTTCCATGCAGTTGTGATTTTCCCTATTCTAGGTCATATCGCTTTTATATAAAACATTAGATTTGGAGGTCTTTCATGTTTTATACAATGTATATATATTGCATATAGCTCATCTCAGCTATGGCCTTACACGTTGGTTGAACCTAAAAGGGCTATCTTTAGTTTTGCATCTTGTGCTTCTTTTGGAGATATTCGATTATTTTGAAGGGTTCTTATGGAAAATGTCGGGTTTGCGAGTTAATCAAAGCACAGGTTAATAGTTTGCCGGCTTTTGGAAGGTTGAAATAAAATGTATGGGAGAACCAGTGATCCCGACGTTGCAGCTGCACAGGCTGGTCGAAACACCGGCGGGTTTCTTCTGCATCGATAGTTTCCTCGGCTAAGGATTTTGTCATGGTGCTCGTCTATGCTCGGAAGCGCCTCCCCGAATCATCGAGCAAGTGAAAAAAAAAAAAGGAAAGATCAAACCCTCTTTCTCCTTCAGAAACTCCTTTTGCTGCTTTGCTTCAGGAACAAGAGTAATGATAAATAACAATAATAATCTTGAAGAAATTATTAAAGAATATTAGGGTTGTTAGAATATTAGTTTGTTGAGGTTGTTAGTATTTTTGATTTTGTATTTTATATTTTATTTTTACTATTTGATCTTTCTATATAAATACTTTGTATCTCTGTTACTATGTTACTATGAATGAGAATCAGAAAATTATTCCAAAAACTCTTCTTTCTTTTTTTATTCAAAATGGTATCAGGCCTGTGAGATCTCTTCTTTTTTTTTTTATTTGTTTTCTAATTTGAATTTCTTTCTCTTGTTTTTGAAATTTCAAAATGGAACAAGATGGAGAAGAGGATGATGACGACGATGGTGATATTGCTCACCAACAGTTTGATAAAATTCCTCCTCCTTCATCTCACTCCTGAGGCATATTTTCTCTATTTTTTTTTTTTGAGACGCTCCTTACCATCGTCTTCTCCTCCATGGAAGGTATAGTTATGAAGCTCCCGTCGTTCAAGTTCCTCGCCCCTACCGTTGTCTTCGCCTCCTTCACCACCAATCGTCAGAGTTCCTACGATGTTCGTCTCTTCTATGCTTCCTCTGCCTCCGCTTCCATTGCCGCAGATTCAGAAACCACCACCACCGCGATGTCGTCTCGTCGTCCGTCATATACGACAGTGCTGCACCCGTTTTGGCCTTAGTTTTCGGATCTAGATGTTGGAACATGAAATGTTATTCTACTGCCGCTCTTCTCTTCAGTTTCTCATAATCGTTTTTAGATCCGAGTGATTTTCTTCTCAAGCATTCCTTCTCCTCGCGTCAACTTTGACCAGCTTCGATCTGGTTTGTCTCTTCGATGCAGTAACGCGAAACAAGTAGCTTCTGGATTTGGGATGCTTTATCGATTTCTCTTTCGATGTGTATTCCTCCGGTTTAGTTGCTGATTAGTTCGTGTGTGCATCTGATTTTCTTCTTTTTTAAATACATCTAGTTTTCTTTTCCATGATCTTCTTGTCATTGACATGGCTCTGTTGCAGAGTTCTATGTTCGTTGCAGTTTCAAATATAAATTCTGATATGATTTTCTGGTCGGCATAGTTTCCGATTCTGATTTGAGCCAAATTATTTGGTTCGTTCTGATTTCTCGGTTGAAATTCATTGTTTCACCGATTGATTTCTCATTTCTTTTTCTATTTCCGATCGATGATCATTCCGGTCGTGTCTTTCTTTTTCGTTCTGATCATGTCTTCTTTTTCTTCCGATAGTCTTTTCTTTCCGATCGTGTCATTTGCTCTTCGATCCTGACGATTGTCTTTGTTTAGCCGTGGTGGCTTCCTTCATGAGTGGAAGTTCGTTTCTTACAATGGAGGTCCTTGATGAATATGCTATGATGATTTGGTGTGTTCAAGACGGAATTGGTGTGTTTCAAGATGGAATTGGTGTGTTCAAGATGGAAGTTTATCACCTCCATCTTGCGGGGGACTATTAAAGAATATTAGGGTTGTTAGAATATTAGTTTGTTGAGGTTGTTAGTATTTTTGATTTTGTATTTTATATTTTATTTTTACTATTTGATCTTTCTATATAAATACTTTGTATCTCTGTTACTATGTTACTATGAATGAGAATCAGAAAATTATTCCAAAAACTCTTCTTTCTTTTTTTATTCAAAAGAAATCTTCTCCAAAATTGCAAGAGGAGTTTTGATGTGTTGTTGTTTAGTGTTTTATTGGATTTATTTTTTTTTTTAACAGAAGACACAGGAGGAGGAGTTGAGTTCTAGAGAGTTGTGTACTTTCGGCTTTGGTACGTTACATTGGATGTAAGAATCTATGGATAATGTTGTGCATATCAAAGAAAATGCCTTTCTTGAAGTATGTTGCCTTTTTGAAGAAAACATATTCAATCCTTATTAAAACGGCTTTGAGATTATACGATATGTTCTGTTATTAGAACAAAGAAGATTCACAAATTTGCATCATTATCTTTGGATGGACGTTCGAATGTCTTGGAACCCTTGATTCAAAATACCTCATAAAGTCACAATGTATTGTCCGAAAAGCTAATGATGATAGAGTTTGAATTATATCAAATATATATTTGGCCTGCAATGGTCTTCCTGTGGGACCCATGTCAGACGGCTGTTATTATAACTAAATCGATAATTAATTAATTATTCACTGTGCTGATTAAAATAGAAAAAAGAAAGAAAGTCCTCTCTTTCACACCTTTCGTTTTCTCGGCCTCTTTAAACATGGTTGAGGGGGAATCTTGGGTTTGACAACTCAGTAGCATCCTTTAAGCATCCAATGAAGGTCTGTTTGCCTTTGCTTTATGACCCTCCCTCCCTCGACCTCTCTCTAATTCTTTCTCGTCTCTTTGTTTCTCTCCCAGTTTGATTTCCTCGATGTGGTGATATACCCGTTTGTATCCTGAGCTTTCTGGTGAGAATTTTCGAGGAATTTTCTAGGAAAAGACACTTCTTTTGGGTCATGGACTAATGGGTTTGTGTAAAAACGGAACTTTGACCATCTGGGTTTTTACCATTTTTGCCTTGGAGATGGTGGTTGCCATAGATTTGGCGGAGGTTTTATGGTGATTTTTAGTTTTGGGCTTTTTGGGAGGGAATTAGGGTTCAAGGTATTTGCTTAGGATTACTGGCGTGAAGAAGACATGGAGGAGATAGAAGAAGCCAACAAAGCTGCCGTAGAGAGTTGTCATAGAGTTATTAGTCTCGTTTGTAGAGCACAACAAGATCATGGGTATGGCAGGGATTTGGTGTCTGAAACTGAGGAAGCTGTGTTCAGGTTTAAAAGAGTTGATTCTCTTCTCAGCAGCAGTGTGGGTCATGCTAGGGTCAGAAGAGCCAAGAAAGTGCAGACCCATTTGTCTCAGAACATTTTCCTCGATCCTTGTCACCTTAGAACAGAACCTCCATCCCAGAAAAAAACACAGTTTCTCCGGTCTGGTTTCCATGAACTGAGTCTGCTGCCTTCAGATTCCCTCAGTTTAGGAAACCTGTCTTTGGGTTTGAGCTCCAATGCGAAAGGTCCTCTTCTACAGCTTACCCAGCAGGCGAATTATCACAACTTGCTTCATAAACAACAACAACATCAGCAGCAGTTACATGAACGGTTGCATGCTCATCAGCAGCAGCAACAGAAACATCAGGCTGAGATCTTGCTTAGGAAGTGCAATGGTGGGATAAGTTTGAGCTTTGATAATTCCAGCTGTACCCCGACAATGTCATCCACCCGGTCATTTGTTTCTTCCCTTAGCATAGACGGTAGTGTGGCTAACGTAGAAGGAAAGAATTCCTTCCATCTGATAGGAGCTCCGTCTTCAACGGATCAGAATCCACAGCCCCTTAAGAGAAAATGTTCCGGGAAGGAAGAGGAAGGAAGCATCAAATGCAGTAGCAGTAGCCGATGCCACTGCTCGAAGAAGAGGTCAGACGCTTGTTTTTTTGCGGTGTCTGGTCTGAAGTTTGGTGCATTTCATGCTGCTAACTGACAAAGCTTTTCGCTTTCTTGACAGGAAACATAGAGTTAAGAGATCCATTAGAGTGCCTGCAATCAGTAACAAGGTTGCAGATATACCTCCTGACGATTATTCTTGGAGGAAATACGGTCAGAAACCGATCAAGGGCTCTCCTCATCCCAGGTAGAAAAATTTACTGCATAAATCTTCGAGAGATTACCGAAAGAACGAAGACGGTTTTCTGAGAAGTAACAGTGGGGTTGGTATTTGCAGGGGATACTACAAATGCAGTAGCATGAGGGGTTGTCCGGCCAGGAAGCATGTAGAGAGGTGTCTGGAAGATCCGTCGATGCTTATGGTCACTTACGAAGCGGAGCACAATCACCCGAAAATGTCATCGCAATCTGTAACGACGTAAGCTTCTCGTGGAGGCGAAGGTTTCCTCTGCAACTCGTTGAAGTTGGCTCGATGGGTTTTAGTTGCTGCAATCAAAGCGATGAAATGTCGGATTACGACAAAACTATCCTTTCCATCATTCAAGCATTCGATGTTTTATCTTTCTTCTTGTTCTTGCTTCAAAAGCTCGATGGTTTACTAAGCGAATTGGATATGGCTTCGTCCCGATTCGGTTCTGCTCTTGGCCGTTCGGCTGGGTTCTCTGATGGCTGTAAGCCTGTAACCGAAGCCGAAACTGAACGAGGGTTGGATCATATCGTAGACAATAGACATCCAGGGTCGGTCCATGGCGGAAGGTTTCTACGCGCGAAGAGATGGAGCCTGGCCTCTACTATCATTATCGTACGGCTGTATCCTATTAAAATATCGTAAGATGATTTATGTTAGGTATATAGTTGATGGTTATAATGGATGATTATATAATCGATTAGAAGAGTGGAAGAGTTCTGATTATTTGAAGAAGTTTGAAAATTATATTATTGGTTTTAATTTTTTTTATAAAAAAAAATCATGAGAATGATGTCAAATATGGTAACCCAAAAACGTATAACAAAGAGGAGAAGGAATTCGAACAGATACATGCTCAATGCTTTTCGTCATGTCTATAAGGACCGACCTGGTGTGTGTGTGTATATATATATATATATATATATTTCATCATTATAATGAATCCAATGATGTAATTGTTTCAAAACATGTAAATAAAAACAACACATCATATCCAAACTTAAATAGTTCAATCGGTGAAATGGATTGCAAAACATTTATTCCGCCCCAAATTTGAACTTCAAATTTGGAGAGACAACATATATTCCAAATCATCCACCTGACTTCCGACATTGGAATTAGTCAGGAGTAGACGATACTCGATTACAAAAAAAAACCATCATTTGTTTTTTCCTAATCCACACTCTTCCATGATAGATACACCAGATATGAACAAGTTATAAGAAATGGTCAACTTTGATCGAATCCAGACCTCTGTTTTTCGATTCAAATGTTATCCGATTTCTTCGGATTTTAGTTCTTACACTCCTTAGATAGTCTACTTTGGTATGTATCGAAAAGTTTAAAATTTTCGTAAATTTATTATCCGAAAAACTCATTATACCTCGTTGCTATCGAAACAGATTATAACAACGTTTAGGTTCTAAATCATATTTTATTCGAAAGAAAACTCAGTTTTACAGGATTAGATAGCCATTAGAAACCTCATTCAATGATTACACAAATGCAAAAGAAATGGATAAATTTCATCGATTGTATCAAAAGTCATAGTGAAATGAATTGAGACTAAAAGCACAACCAAACACAAGCCCTAGCATGGCATCCATATATCCACGTCCCATTTGTCTCATCATCACTACGTACCAAGGTTCTGTATCCCACGCCATCGATCCGCGTACTTATCCTTTTCACCAATCAGAATCAAGCTTTTTTGCGCCGTCTCCTTCACGTCCGACTATTTAAGCCCGAACATTTCCGTTGCTTCTCATCTTCTTCCTCCCCGAATCAGTTTTCCTCCTACATCTCGCATTCAGCCTTGGCGGTCGAAGATTCGGTTCCTAAGTCCTAGATTTATTCGAAGCAGTCTTAGTGATGTCGGCGGAAGAGAACAACGCGACGGCGGTTGTGGATGCCGGTGGTGCTGACGCGGCGGCGAAGGCCGGGAAAGGGAAGAAAGCCAAGGAGGTTAAAGCGAAGAAGCCGGTGGCGAGGAAGCGGAGTGCTTCGACTCATCCTTCGTACGAAGAGGTGTGGTGTTTGATTCATTGATTTATTTTTTTGAATTTCGGATCGAGCTTATTTGGATCATGAGATCAGGGTTATTGATTCGGGGTTTTGATTTTGTTTCGCTGTGTTGCGCGATTGCAGATGATAAAGGATGCTGTCGTGACGTTGAAGGAGAGAACTGGATCTAGCCAGTACGCGATTCAGAAGTTCATCGAAGAGAAGCACAAGCAGCTTCCTCCCACCTTCAAAAAGCTGTTGCTGCTCAATCTGAAGAGACTCGTCGCCGCAGGGAGGTTGGTGATGGTCAAAGCATCCTTCAAGCTTCCTTCCGGCAAGTCTTCTGCGCCGACGCCAGCGTCAAATTCTCCGGCGAAGAAGAAGAAGACGACAGCTGGGGTTGTACCCAAGCCGAAGGAAGCTAAGGGGTCTAAGAAATCGGCTGCGGCTAAACCCAAGGCGGCTGCTGCGAAGAAGCCTAAGCCCAGTGCTAAACCCACATCGAAGGCGGTGGCTGCTGGATCTAAGACGAAGAGGGCTGCTTCGTCGAAGCCCAAGTCCGTGGAAAAACCAGCAAAGGCGGCGAGGACATCGAGCAGAGCGTCTCCGGGAAAGAAGCCGGGGGCTAAGAAGAAAGCTCCGGCAAAGACGGTGAAGTCTCCAGCGAAGAGGGCATCGGCGAGGAGGACGAAGAAGTGAAGTGGATAGTGTGAGGGCTTCTCTAGGGTTGTAATTTGTAAAGCTTTGTACAATTGAACGATTCGATCCTAAGAGGACTTCTCATTTTTTTTTGTTGGTTTCAGATGATTATTGTTTTCTAATTAAATGTTAAATTGGGTTCCCACCGAGAGTGTGTATTCTTTTTAACTCTATATAAACTGGGACTTCACCATTCACCAAAAAAAATTAAAATAAATAAAAATAAAAATAAAGGTTTGAACGGCTCCAGACATCTTTTGAAGTTTGCTATACATGAGACAGTAGTACTATGATAATATACAAAAAGAAAAAGCTGCAAGTATGTGATGATCAGAGTCATCCACCGCAAAACAACAACAAAACTTCATCACCATCATCAAACTCTCACAACACCAACACACCAAAGAACAAAAATGGAAAAGACAGTAACCAACACTTCCACTGCACCATGGCAATACCCTGAAGAACAATTGCATGGACATTCCACTATCACTATAAATAGATGATGAACCAACCCAAAACATGACAATTATATGTTGCAAGAAAACAAGGCAAGGAAACTATTACTTGTTACTTACCATCATTTTTAAGAGTCTGAGAAGTTGGCAAGGCAGGCAAGGACATCTCTGCAGATTTAAGCAACCCATTAAAAAAGACATACCCGTTATCGTATCGGAATCTGGAGTGTAAAAAAGGTTACCGGGAGCACAGAGAGACAAGGAAGACATCGAGGATGAAGATGGCCATGGAGCGGCTATGTTGTCTGTTAAATCACATGTAAAGCTATAGCCTGTTGTGTTGTCAAATATCAAATCTGCAGGATAGCTTCTGAGAAGACACCCTACATACATACATAATACGTCACACGGTCAACCAAAAGTGAACTAAAATTAGTCCGGGGTGAGATGAATTCAACAATGCTAACCTTGTTGCATTCCGTATGCTGCTTGTCCTCCCATAGGAAACCCCATGAAACAGAAAGGAGAAAAAATTCTATGAGGTGGATGGAAAGACAATATATTTAGCTCATTCGTAGTGATTTAAGGAGAGTATAAGTGAAACTAAATAATTACCTTGGACACTAAAATCTTTGAGATCAACATCACAAAGCTCATAAATATTTGTCATGACACCGCCTTTCCTTAACATGGAGCCGATAACTGTGGCACAGACTATGGCCTGCTTGTTTGTTATTAGCATTTGGTTTTGTATCCCAGAAATGTATGCATTCAACGAGCTGCAGCAAGAAGGGCTCGGAGCAGCTACATTCCGGCAAGCGTTAATAACTTCTGTTGGCTGATTAAACTCCAAGGGACAAGCTACAACCACAGTGTAAGCCTCAGTATTATTCCACTAAAGCAATGAAATATATCAAAAGCTTCTGAGACAAAGATACAAGATTGATGTTCAATACCCCTGTTAACTTTGCATGAAGACAGTATTCGGAATGCAGTATTTGCAATGTCTGCCGGGAGCTTCCTGGAAATGTATGAATACACCACATTCTTGCAATCGTTAATTGCGTTGACATTGTTTGACTCCCTCCCTACGGGAATTCTATCACCATATACCATTTGGTTTCCCGAAATCTCAAGTGCAGCTTCCATTATTGCAGGTTGACAAACCGGCCTGCAACACTCCTTGAGAGGATCAACAGTGCTACATGCATCCAGTAGTTTGCTGGTATTGACTAGCTTTTCAAAGGTCTTAACATCTTTAACTGGACAAGAACCTCCAGTTAGATTTGATGATGTTACAGAGCAAAGAGAAGGTATACTCATATTTGCCCTTCTGCTGACCAAGATACTAATGACATCTGAAAAACAATCTGAAGCAACTGCATCCGGCAGAACCAACTTCTCTGATTTGGCATTGTGTTGCCCCAGGAAAATATGAAGTAAACTAGCAAACTGTGGACAGCATATCACATTCCCTACAAGCGCAGCAAATGGCTGGGAACAATCAGATGCAGTTCTGTCCATAATGCTTGAAATTGCTGAAAAGTCCGCAGGACATCTCCCTGTTAAATTGGGCTCATATGTATTAGGAAAGGTAGGGTACATGGATGGTGTCCAAGGCGCAGCAGGGGATTCATATCGGGGGATGACAGATGGTGACACTTGTATAGGATCAGTTGGTCCAGTGCCAGGTGGATTTGCCAACTCGGAGGTCGAGGACATGTTACTAGGCTCATGAAGTTTATGGGGTGCAACTACATCCTGGAAGCTTGATAACCAGATGATAAATAACAAGAACCGATGAGCCAGACTGCCTGAAAGAGATGAAAGCGACCCATTAGCACTCATACATTCATACATATATGTATGTACTCCAGACTATAGGGCATGTTCCTATAAAATAGGAAACCTATTACACAAGCACATTATTTGGATAAAAAAGAAACCTATTTCTCAAGCAACCAGAATTCTCCTTTTAAGTAAAACCTGGAATCAATGTTGCCATTGCTTAGGGAAAACATTGTCAAGATATGACTGACAAATTCATTTTAATCAAGCCAAAATAATAATAGCAGTGAACTGTGGGTGACTACGCCAAATTAATGTCATAATCTTTCTTGTGATTTTCGGGTGAAAAAATGGAAAACAGGAAAGCATGTACTTCACCAGGTTCGTATCTATCACACAAGTTTCCACCTGAAACTTATGAAGAAAGACAACAGATGTCAATCTTACCTTTAAGCCAACTAACAGTCTCAAAAGATTCCATTGCTAACTAGCCCTCTGGCACCATTTAATTTCATGAAAGGTAAATACAGTAGTGAGCTAAAAGCCGTGGCAGTTACAACCCCTGGATAACACCCCCATCACCTCGAGTGTAACAATAAGTTCACGAGTCAGAACCTTTCATGAAACCGTGCACAGAGAATCAACCATAAATAAGTGAGCACGGTTCAAGAATAGGAAGTGTGAACAGGAAAGCTAGAAGCAATGAGTAGTAACACATTGAAATGATTTTAAGGTTCTACCTATGAGGAAGCACAAAATAGATAAAGGTTCAACCGGTTGCATCCCTGAGTTTCATCCCTCTTCACCATTTGCTACCCCCGAAAACACAAGAGCCAAGCAAACCGACAGAATAAAGCCAATTCTAAGTAATCTCATTGCAAGTTTAGCACATCGGCACTTCACTAAAAAGATGAATCCTAGTTGTTCTAGAAATGACGAGTCTGAACACCATCAATCAGTGCGTCTTAAGATAGCAATTGGCCTCAACGTCATTTTCATATCCTAAAACAGGTCCTTGGGGCCTTACATTAATACTGCCTTGAATTCAGAAATAACTAGTGTCTTGCCTTTGTTAACCAGGCTTTCTCAAGGCTAAAGGCCATATAAATGGAGGTAGAGGCAGAAAAGAAAGCTCCTATGCTCAGCGAATGCACTGCAATTATCTTTAATCACTATTTTCCTGCCAATCACATCGATTATTTGCCCAGCAGACTGCCTTTACCACGAAACAAGCAAAAATTAGGATCTTTTAAGTACCCGACCAACTATTTTTGTGATGGAGATTAAGAAACATAAACCACCAGATCAGAAACACATACAAAACGTTCAGTTCTCTTTGTCCATTTCTTGCACTAATGTAAGGACCATAGCCTTTTGCATTCAAGAGAAAGGGTAAACCCTTTGCTGGAAACTTCTCCCAACTCGCTACAGTAGTTAAAAAGGAACAAACATGACCCAAACAATTTCTATGCTCCCTCTTGTCAGCCAAGAGAACCCTTATCCCAAAATCAAACATACAAATGAAAAACTCAGGCTTCCCTGCTAATCCGATCCAAGAAGAGATGCAAAAGCTAAATATAAACTCCATCCAAAACAAAGCAGAAAATGTACCCAATCCTTCTGGGCCTAATATCTTCCAAAACTTCCCTAAGCTCAAATGGACGACAAAGTATTCACACGGAGATCAATCGCAACAAAAAATTAAAAAAAAAAAATTTCGCCGATTATTAGCCTTACAAGTCTCAATAGGAGAAGAGCAACCAGAAGAGGAAGAAGAAGAAGAAGACGAAAGTACCTGGAGATTTCAGCATCGCCGGAAATCAAATCATGACGGAAAGCAACAAGGAGAATCGAAGGGAGAAGCTTCCAGAAGAAACCCTAGAAATGATCAGATTCAGCATAAGCTTCTCCTCCAGGAGAAGAAGTGAATTCCGCGGAGAGATTAACACAACACTAAGATGAACCACACAAAGGTAGAGCAAAGGGAAAGAACTGTGTTTTTAACTTTACCATCCTCGCTTAAGGAGTTAACCCACCTGATTTTCTCTCTCTCTCTCTTTTTTTTTTGCGTCAATTTTTTTTTTGTCTTTTTACCAAATATTTTTTTTATTCAATATATAGATTTAATAAATTTGGTTCACTTTTTATTTGCTTTTGGTTGAGAAATATTTATTTCTTATTTTTACTTTATCAATTTCTCGGTTATTATTGTGACTTAAAAAATAACACCAAAGGTTGGATTTTATTTAATTATAATTATGCATGAACAGATTTATTTTGGGTTTATATAGAATCGAAAACGCTTTTCTTACAAAAACCATAAATTTTATTTTAGGTCCAAATCGTAATAAAATTCAGAAGAAAAAAAAAACAACGGAAAATCGCCAAGAAACTTTGTGATCTGCATCTTCCGCGGCGCCATTGAAATGCAGAGAGAAATCTGAAGGATTTGATCTGCGGGTGAAAAGGTCCTTCCTTTGCATTCGATAACTCATTTGCTGAAAACGAGTCAGTGTTTGTTACTTTGGCAGCAAGCAATCAAACGACGAAGCGTAATCATATCTCATATAACTTGTTTTTTTTTTTTGGGTTTATCACGGTGCAGTACGTTACATGACAAA